TTGCCGGATATTCACAGGATTCACAACAGTCTCGGACGGATGGCCACGCTCAAGGAATTGTCAAGGATTCTTGGTCGTCTTGAAATTTCTTGCAGGATCAGATACACTTCTCCTCTCTAGACCGTCTTTCCCGAACTGTGCTTGTCATCTTCGAAAAGTATCCGCCTCCTTCACATGCTCTTTCCCGTGGAACTTTATGTTACAACGCTGTTTAACCCTGGAGGACATACCATCAGACGCCATGAAAGTGCAGGTAAGTATTGAACCACCCTCGTATAACTCAGAGAATTATTAAATGTTGAAGTCAAGTATGGGAATACAGTAGTGGGCGGGAATAAGGACGGGTAAAGCGTACAAGTTTTTCGTATCATACACCTTGCACAACAAATGGCACAATATCCATGGAGTCCTATGTCCTCTCTCAGGATTCCGTAGGAAATACGGAAGAGGGGGGCATTGGGAAACCTTAGAAATGTTAGGTACTCTTCTGAGAACGCTAGATCACCGAGATATGAAGTGAATCAGATATACATGGGACAGTAGTCCCCTTCTCAGCTGTGGGTCATCACCAACGAGCTACTAGGTGGGCCAGTGCTGGCAAGTGGGACATACACTTCGTGGCCCACAATCTTGTAAAGGTGGTGGGCCACAAGCTCTCCTCTCCCAATGTAGCTGGTGGCCCACCACTTATGTGCTACTTGGAACTGCAGTTGCTCGAGAGATTTCAGGACTGATTTCTCCAGAAGTATGTGGCCGTGCAGACACATTCGGCACTACAACGTTATGTCAACATTAATAAAAGGTTGAAATGTTGCAACATGGTTGATATATCCACATTTAAACACCCAGCAAACAATTTGAAACACATATCGCTGAATCAACGTTGAATTAACATTGAATAACCGTTTGGAACGTTGATACAACGTTAATCCAACGTATCCTTGTTTACTGCGTAGATTCTACCGATCGGCGTGAGATGGCGATTTAGCGATTCTCACCCTGGTGTCTTTGGAATGAGTCTCCTGTGTTTTCCAAGCAGTATCCGTTTTTTTTCCCACGTACAACTTAACGGAAGACTTTGGAATTCCTACCAAAAGAGCATATTTATGTTAATTTTACGTAAAATGAATGCAAATTTTTTGTCCATTTTATATCATTTTTACGCAAACTATTGTCAAGATAAAGTCAACATGTTTGCATAAGTCACCTCTGTGATACGTTAAACGGTGATATAAAATTAACGTAAATTTTACGTTCATTTTACGTAAGATTTATGGTAATTTCCCCTTAGCATTCATGTGTCTTTAACGAGCCAATCTGCACCTTTGAAAATAATTGATATGCTGAATCTCCCATTCCTTTCCGTACTTAAGAACTCAAGGGTGCTTGGCCGACTACACTAATCTCATCAGCACTCAAGAGTACCAAAATGACCTCCCCCCCGTACCGGAACCTCGGAAGAAGGACTAGATGTTTAGAGGAGTTAGAATTCAGATGTTTTAGTACTTCGAGCACGCATTCTACTCTTCCCTATTCCCGTGCACTGCTGTAATAAAAAGCTTAACTTCAGCATTTAATGATTCCCTGAGTCATATATTAGAAAAAACATATAATTTCATGTTTTCCATAGTGACGTAAATATAGGAACGTAAATTTTACGTAAACGTGATGCCATTTTCATGGCAATCGCAATAAATTTACATTGTTTGCAAAGAATTGATACCATGTTTACGTAAACATGCTGCTTGAGTAGATGGACCCCATTCGACACAACTTTGTGTCAACGTTGAGAAAAGGTTGATTTTTCAATTTAAAATATTGTTGAAATGATACACAGTTCAACGTTGAAGAGGTGTTGCTGTATAACGTTGTGTCAATTTTGAATTCTCAAAGTACGGGCATTATATAACCTCCTCCCTTATCCATAGTCTGAAAGTGTTAATTAGCCGATGGGATTGAATATTGATTCGATAATCCCACGGAGAGTACCCAAATGGTATGATACAAGTAGTGCTCAATTGAGTACAACCATCCCACGTAAAGCACCTTCAAAGCCTTATTTCCTTTACTGAAATAGAATTCAGATTGAGCACTTTACATGATTCAACTCTCACCGTACAGTAGAGGGAAATAACCCCGCGGGCATGACTTACCTCAACTTTCTTCTACGGAAGAGCTCGAGTGAGTGTATGTGCCATGTGAAGATTTAGGAAAATTTAGGTACCCGGCAGAAGAAGACTCCAAGTACTACTGGTCAGGCGGTCCGAGGAGACATGCTCAATTTTCTCAAGTCTCTACATGGCGCTTGCAAGGATTCAGGATCATATATGTCTTTCGAGAAGGATAGAGTATGTTAATTGGTCTGCGGGGATGTGTCTGGCTCTTCTACTAAAATGAAGTATAACTGGTAATAATGAGATGTAGTTCCTCTGTTGGACAGGAAGGGTAGTGTCATCAAAGTACTCACCTCAAATCCTGATCCAGTAAAGGAAAGACAATCTTAGCGAGATTCCGAGCTTTGATACTTAATAGAGCACTATCATCCCACCTGGGGATCCTTTCTTGCCTGCAGAGGCATGCCTCCGTGGGATGACAGTACAAAACAGAGTACTATAATCAACAGGGCCGTCGAAAGGAATTGTGGGGCCCGGGGCAAATCTCTAGGTGAGGGCTTCCTTGAACCTGCGAAACTTGGGGGAGGGGGGGGGGGGGGGCTAGGGGCTGGCATGGGGCCCGGGGCAAATTGCCCCTTTTGACCCCTCCCCCCCTCTCTACGGACCTGATTATATATTTTATACTCATTCATTCTCGCCATCTAATCGATATTAGTCTTCGTTCAGACTCAGGAAATAGAAGAAGTACTTTAATGCCTAAACGTTGACAATTCAGCTCTGGCACAACGTATTTTCAATGACCTGTTTTTAATTTCAACATAGCTTCAATATCGGGGCAACCTTTTTCACAACATTGAGGCAACATTGTTACGTTGAAAAATCAACCTTTGCTCAATGTTGACACAACGTTGCTGTGCCGAATGGGGAAGGTTGAGTGGAACTGGAACTGTGACTTCAATACTTGTGCAACTATTGCCTATGGAGTTGCGTGAGGCGGGGGGATACGGAATGGTTAAACGGGACAGTTCATTAATGGTACGGAGCATTCTTGCTCATGTCTTCGAGAGTGCGCACAGAATCTTTCAACAAGTACCTCTTATGATTCATAAATCTTCCATGATAGCAATCTTCTGCAAAATGAAGCGGACAGACGTTTGCAGAAAGCGTTGGGTTCATCTACTGTACCCATATTGAATTTGTTTCCTCCTCTTTAGGGTTATCATATTTCGGACAGCCAGAAAGAGGACGCCTAGCAGTCAGACGGAAATTTGAAGACGAAAAAGGACATATCCAGGGAAAATATCCGGACATACGGTAACCCATAGGACGAATTCCTCCTAGACGGAAAGTGAAGAAAGAGGACACGTTCGGGAAAAACCGGACGTATGGTAACCCCTACGAGTCCTCTTTGGATGAGGCATGAAATGAAAGATTTTTAGCTCCGCTTTCCTGATACATTAAACAGCAAGGAGGTATGTACGTTTTCCCTCTACATCTGCTCATAATAAAGAGGAGGCCAAGAAAATAAGGTTGAAGTAGATCAGATTATAACAAAAAGGGAGGGAGGAAGGGAGGAAGGAACTGATTATTGGAGAACGCAAATACGAAGTATTTGGAGCTCTTACGTAAACTCTCCACTCAAAGCTTGGAAGCACAAAGGCATTAACATCCTCCCTTGACAGTTCGAACCGGAGTGAGAGTGGGTCGCTGTGAAGTTCCATTTTAAACGCAACCGTGTGACTTCATTAAGAAGCCCTGCCCCCGCACGCATTCTTCATGAACTTCGATCAGGCAGCGGTGCTTTCCCGTCATATCGTCTCTGTACAGGGAGGAACTCAGCAGACTTCCAATAAGCTACTTTCAGAAAGCACAAGAAAGGAAAGGAAACCTCAAGCTCTATCTCTTATAGGGTAGTGAATGGAACGTGTTTTCCAGTAGGCTGACCCTTCCCTGACTTCCCGCACATTCACTGACAAATAAAAAAAAGAAGCATTACAGCCACAAGCAACTAGGCTAGCAACGCAACCTCTACATGCTCCCACAAAAATTTATATATTTTCAAGAGACTATCTTATCTCATATGAACGTGCGACCTAGACACAAGACGGCCGTGACAAGTGTAATGAGCAATAACTCCTCTTGACTTCCAGACCGAAACCTTCGTCAGATGGCTGTTATCCTTGTCTGAATGTTTATTTCTTGATGTTTCCTTCGTTCATTTTTTGTCATTTTGTGGAGCTGGCAATGACATTTCAAAAAATTCTTAAACATCATAGTATGCAATGGAATCAATGTGCCTACCCTCTCGTACCGTTCAGTATAGCAAAGAATTTCTTTACCTAGAGAATTCAACAATAAAATAAAGGGATACCATCCCCTGTGAATACGAAAAAAATACTAAACCCCAATGACTTGCATCAATTTTCTCTCGTTTAAAACACTCTTTTCTCATTGCGATTGGGCTCCAGCACAAGGGCGGTGAATACTCCAGGCTGCCCGTATGAGACACTAGTACCTGAGACACGAAAGACCAGGACAACCGAAAGAGACGAAAAAAATTATTTAGCAAAATATAAAGATAGCAACGTTCCAATTGGTCTGCGGAAATTCCAGCAAGTTATCCGCATTCCGGAGCTGGAGCTATGGCCCTGCACCCATGAGAGCCAGTCTCAGTCAAGGGCAGCCGTGACTGCAGGGGAGGCGGGGAACGAGAACGGTTGTGTCCTCCCCTGCGTCTACGAGTGTGTGTGGAGGCCTTGCTCTCCCGATGCATTGCGCTTGAAAAAAAACAGCGGCGCATTACGTCTCGCCTGTCTCGCTCCTCTCTCCCGGCCCGGTTTCCAGTCATTTTTTCTCTCGGGCTCATTACGTTGCACTTGGCAGTGGTGTTCCACGAGAAACGATTCTCTGTTATTGGTGAAAGGCGTCTCTGACGTATGTTGATATTCATCGGCAAGGTTGTCAAACGGAGCCGACTTAGGCGTCATCGAAAGACCGTGATAATCCGATCGAGGATTCGTAGGCGGTAAGCAATGGTAGCCGGTCCCCATCTGCTTCGCATCTGCCGTGCTCCATTCCCATGAGCGATGGCAGCCGGGAGTGAGCGCGTTTCTCCTACTTGCTTGAGCAACTGCCTCTTGGCTGCTGCACGAGGCGAATCGTGTTCTCTGTAATCGTTTTCGGCATTCCTGTGTCCTTTGGTAGGGATTTATCGATCTCGTGCGGTGGAACTATTGCGTGTCTTCTACGGTCCCTTTGACCTTTATATCAGTTCACCAAGGAAACGCGTGCTTCCGAGCTGCATGACGTTTGAGTCTAGGTCAAGGTCTGGGACATTGAATTATAATTTCCCTTGTAGGATTGCATGTAGGTAACTCACTCGTAAACGACACGCCAACTTCCGAAGGCGAGTTCTTCGACGTCCTCTTTATCAAGGTCCGTTTAGTCCTTTGTTCTAGCTCTATCCGGGTGTCCCAGACAAGAAGGAATTTTTCCTACTTTCATTAATATATTATTACCTAAGACCCCCAATTTAAACTCCGTTGCATTAAGTCTATCATACCAAAACGATATTCTCCTTTAGTGAAGGCAAACAGATCATAGAAGCAGCTTTAGAGTAACCCGTTTCAATGCAGTTGTGTACCTCGTAACTCGCGTGCACGCTCGCGCAGACCTCCAAAATCTGCATACTACTTTTTGCTAAGTTTTTTTTTTAACTTCCGCGGACCCAGAAAAATAATAAAATCCATAAGATTAGGTTTGTGGACGTGCCACCCAGGTCTTACGAGGATAAAGTATGCCTTATTTCGTTCTTGCTGATGCATTATCGCCTTTGTTCCACTCTTGGAATATTAGCCATATTTAATCAGATGACTCAGCCAATTGTACTCGAAAAGTCGGGGCAAAAATCAATGAAATTAGATGCAAATTTGACATTTCATGAAGGCGTAAAGTAAATATGGTCATTTATTCTAGCACTTTTTAACGCCACTTTGTACGATCTATAGACATACATTTGTTTCAAAAAGTTTCCGATTAATAATTGACTGAATAACGATGTGACTCATTAAATGTGATGAAGAAATGTGAGAAATTTCATCAATGGAAAATTCGATTCGACTGCTTTTTCACTCAGCAGTGAAACATTGAATCTATTTGTGCCTTCTCCTTGTAGCCTCATCAGTAGTAGAATAAACACCGATCAGAAACGGAATTGGTGTTTCAAAACATTTATTATCCCTTTACATCTCTCCTCATTGAGTTTTATTTGTCCAACATGGACAATAGATGAGATTTTTGAGCATTAAAAGAGCGGTCAACCCTGGAAAGTTTTGGTATCGAAAAGCCAAAAGCAAAACAAACCCGAGTTGGATTTTTATCCACTAGTTCTTTTTCCTTATATTTCCTAGGAAGTTAGGCAGAGTAGTAAGTCGATGTGATAAACGAAGACACGTTTCACCATCTGTTTGTTCATCGATTCATTATATTCATGGCTACTTCAGTCGTTGATTCGCAATTAGCCAGCAAAGGGGCAAGGTTTCATATTATTTCCTTTTTCTATACGTGGTGGACGTGTTAATAATAATGAGCCATAATAACATATAATTATGCATAATGAGCACATTGATGAATCGTGCCCTTCCGCTGAACAGAAATACTTCAGCCTTCTCTGAAGAGACGCCATAAGGATGCGTTTTCGAGTTTCTTGCCACGCCCATGTACGAGCAAGTTGGTGAAGAGGGAGGCCCTCCCTCCTCACGGGAGATTATTCTATCCTACTAGCCCTGTTCCTGGTCCTTATCTGCTAGGGTCCTCTTCTCACGTAGCGGGGAGGAAGTGTGATATTCTTATCTTGTATTCACGCCCTCCGCCTTCATTAGCCTACTTGCATTCATTGTCTCCTTCCTCCCGTCGATATGATAGTTCATGGAGTAAGTGACAGAAGAGCACAAAAAATATGGGCGAGAAAGTGGATGTGGTGATCATTGGGGCAGGGCCTTCCGGCTGCGCTGCAGCCCACAGGCTGGCTTCCATAGCTCCAGATATCAAGATCGAAATTTTGGAAGCACGAGGTAAATTATGTCCGTTCGATTGTTCGAGATCTTGCCAATGTTGATATGCTATCAGAACCCACCAATCTGCAGATCGGGTGGGAGGAAGGACCATGACGATAGATCTGCCCTGTAATCGTTCCGGCGAAGTGGATCAATGGGACATTGGGGGTCAGTGGGTGGGCGCGTCTCAGACGGATGTCATGCAAGTCATTCACGACTTCCATTTCGAAACGTATCCCCAGCCTTATAAGGGAACCAAGTTCATGCAGCTGGGAAAAAGTAATAAGATCACGACGTATTCTGGTATCATTCCTGATATGGGGGGCCTTTGGGGTGCCCTTCAGATGGCGTTCTACCTTTGGAAGGTATGTTCACAGGAAACCATGAAGTTCGGCGCAATATCTGCCTTGGAATTAAGACTTGCACCCATCGGTCGTTGATGATATTCTGTGCTTCTTTGCAGTTGGAACGAATGTGCAAAAAGGTGAGCATAGCTGATCCTTTCAGCAGTCCCGTTGCCAGAGAACTGGAGGGTCATACCATGGCATCGTATTCAGCAAAGTATCTGACCAATGAAGCTGCTTATCAGTCCATGGATGTTGCTGCCAAAGCAGTGTTTGGTACGCTTGCACGACCATATCATTCCATATGCAAAAATCATGATTTCGTGCTTCTTACTTCTTTAGTTTGTAACTACCGGCGTGCTTCTTCCCTAGGTTCAAATGCTTCGAGCGTGTCCATGCTGTTCTTCCTTGCATATGCAAACAGCAGTGGAGGGGTCTCTAAACTCCTTGAATCCACTCCTGGGAGCGCCCAAGAATTACGTGTCAAGGTATGAATGAACGGAAATACGTGGCATTCCCCCACTGAAGAAGACCCTCACTTTCTCGTTGAATGTCCTTATGAGGGATGGGATCACTGGTCCATGATTTTTTGTCCTTTGCTAGTTAGCTTGACCATCTACTTTCTCTTGTGTCACCAATTTGATTTTCTGAGCAAAGAAACTAGGCTATGAAGTATCAACGTTTTAGCAAATTCTCAAAATTCCAAATTCCATTTGGCTTTTCAAATTCGGCCATTTTCACAGAATTTCTTGAATATGGTGTGGCAGTTTTTCAATGCCACACCATGCTCACAGTCCTCCACTTGAACCAGCAAAGAGTGCTCAAAATGGGACTCCAATTGTTGGTTAGCATATATTAATAACTTGAAGGTTACATAGGTGTATCCTTTTTATGTTTCCGAACCAGCAACTCAGCAAAACCGCAAGAATTGTGAATAGATATGCTTAGCTCATTGTAGGTTACCTTGGCCAAGTACGTGTTGATGTGACAAAGTGGGCGAGGGAGGGGATGAAAGTAAATTTCCAAAGTAATCTCACACATTTTTGGGGGATTCTATTTTCAAATCCTATTAATTGAGAGTCTTGAATATCCGTTTTTGAGGAGAACGGCGATGCGAACGTATTACTGGGTGTTCAAGTTCCAGATTTTCGAATGGCATTTCCGCTACGCGATTTATATGTGAAACGGGGGCGAACAACTTCCCTAGATCTCAGCGCAGATGATGCGCAAACGACAACCAATCTGTGGGATCTTCGGCTCTTCATAAACAGCTATAGATATAATGCACTCTAGTAAATTTCCAGATTCTATTATATCTAAAATTATGCATTTTCACCAGATTTTTAGCTATTGTAATTGGCTTGTATGAGGAATTCCAAGGCTTTCACCTTAACTTAGGCAACAAAGGAGTAGAAACCCCATTATCTAGGAGAGATACCGATGACGCGCCATTTCTCCCACACAGGTATGAATTTTCCATGAATTCGTGAAGCTCATTCTTCGGCTTCTGTAAGAGCGTGAATTTCCGTTTTAATGCAAAAAAGCTCATGCAATCTCGTTCCTCGCGGTACCGGGTAGTAGACCTTTTTGAGAGTATGATTAGATTAGACGTCAAAAATGAGGACAGACCCTAACGAATCGCAAGACCGAATAACAATTTTTATCGGCCTTAGCAGTCCCCTTTCTGCTACCCTTGACCACGTGAGCCAAAAAGCACCGCTGTTTGTTTAATTTTTTATTATTATTACTCAACTCGAGCTGGGCTTGAGAGGACCATTTTATCATCTGGTGGTCGTGACGCCTTTCCTGGCCAGTATGCAGCATGGTACCGACCTGCCTTGATAATGAGAAAAGGTAGGACTCGAGGAAACTAAACCAAGGAAAACAAATCCACCAGCTAGAGAACAGACGGGGTCACTCCTGTCCTACATCGATGATGCATTCATTCAAAATCATGGGGGGGGGGGGGGAAACTAATTTGACTCATAGGAAAACTTGTCCATGGATTTCTTGCCTCCCAAAACGATTTCCGAACTCTGATGGTATTTCCACGCTTGGATATGCATGTGCCCCCTTGGTCTAACCCACTAAGGGAAATAAATCCTTTCACATCATCTTGCCTTGCCTTCGTACAGGGAGGAACTCAGCAGATTTCAAAGAAGCTACTTCAGAAAGCACAAGAAATGAATGGAGATCTCAAGCTCCATCTCAATCACCCGGTGGTGAAGATTCAATCGATGGAGGAAAAAGTGCTGATCGAAACAGCAAGCGGGAAGACTTTTGAAGCCAGCTATGTCATCTCCACTCTACCCCCAAATCTCCTTCTTAAAGTTGAATTCCATCCGCCTCTCACAAAGGCCACCAGATTTGTGTATGAGAACCTCCCAATGGGCTATTATTCGAAGTACATTGTTGTGTATGACAAAGTGAGTTTCCAGCAATGGCAATCGATTATTGGTATATTTTGAAGAAGGATCGAATGACATAAAATTCTGATTTGCAGGCATTTTGGAAGGACAGAGGATACAGCGGGGAGATAGTGACGAATGGCGGAGATGGAGGCGGCCCACTCAGCGTAGTGTTCGATGCAACGACGTGCCGAGGAACTCCTGCTCTCGTCGGCTTCATAGCTGGTTCCGCTGACGTCAAATACTCTCAATTGTCAGTATGTAAGAAAAGGTGATACGTCGAACGGTCTTCTTGCCGACTTGATATATTTTCTGCTGGGATATTTGAAAATTCGTGGAGCAGAAAGATGCCCGAAAGGAAGCAGTGGTGACCGCACTGAGCAAGTTCCTCGGGGATGAAGCTTTGAACCCTATCCACTATGAAGATAAGATATGGAGAGAGGATCCTTATTCTGGGGGTTGTCCCAGCAACCATGCTCAACCCGGGCCTCTTTCTAATTTCAAAGATGTTCGACTCCCTTTTCACAGGTACGTATTAGATTCTGTTGCATGAATGTTTTTGTCCTCGAGCATACAACAGCGACGGTGGCTAAATGTAACAAGCTTAGGTTGGCTCAGGAGACTTAGGTCGCACGACTCTTTGACTTCCCTACAAGTGAATGTTTGGAACACATTACGTTCCCCTAAAAAAAAAAAGGAACAAAAGCTTTTTAAGTAATGAGGCACAATATGGATACGCTAGAACAAGAATCGCCATCTTCAATAGAAGTAGATCTATCTCATATGAAATCTCGACCTTGGGACAAGATGACCCTGACATAAGGTGCGAAAACGCCTATTGACGTTCCCAGCCAAACCCTGAACCTTGTAAAATCGTCAGCTGAACGTTTACCTTGTTAGAATATTTTTTTTCTTGATTTCCTTTCTCTCATTGTCACATTGTGGACCCTGCAGAGTTCATTTTGCCGGAACCCACACCGCAACAGAATGGAATGGTTATATAAGTGGTGCCATCCAAGCCGGCAAAAGAGCTGCAGTCGAAGTTTTGCATCGCTTCAGGCCTGCCTCAATTTCTCAGGAACTCCTCAAAGGAACTGCCTACGATCCCAATCCACCAATGTGAGTTTCCCCGAGAACTCGATTTCATGACGTTGCCTGCAATCTTCGTTTTCTTTATTGTTCATCGATTCATAGTAACAGCAAAAGAACATTGTTCTTTTGACCTTTATATTGAAAGAATCCCTTTTTCGATGTTACAGGCTTCCAAAGGGATGCCATACTTGCTGCGTGAAGCCGCTTCTGGGATGTACACTTGGCATTCTCGCTGTTGCAATTGTGATCAAGATCATTTACAACTCGGTTGGTCTTGCTTAGGTAAAGTACCCCGCTCGATGGCACAAAAATGACAATACTGGCTGTCTTACATAAATATGGGATGACATGCACAAGATCTGTGTTACTGGTACTGATCTGATTCCATAATGAGAATCTGAGTATATAATTAAATTAGCTAATCTATAGTTAAAATCCAAAATAGCCGATCAGTTTTAGTGAAAATGAAACAGATCCCTAGTTCAGTTTCATCAGACAGTACCAGCAATACAGGTATCAGATTATCAAAATACATTCACACTCAATGACGATTGACGAGTAAAAATCAGTGGTACCGTTGATTTGGTCATGAGTTAGAATCCATTTGTATTATTCGTGTACAGCGTTGAATAATCAGCCTGCTTCTTCATGCCCTTTTTTTATACTAGGGAAGTGCAATAAGAACTTAAATTGTGATTTGTAGTCAAAGGGGTTTTCATGTTCTAATGTATAGCGAGAACTATGAAGTGCATTCTTTGGAATTATTGAAAATTTTCACGTGAATTGTAAGAACAGGGGCTTAAGTTTCCTTCTTTTAAAGGTTCATCTTGGGATTCATTTAATAAAGATTGATTTTGGGTTCATTTAAATGAAGGTTGTCAGGTCAGTGGGGTTTATTGAATAAAGATTGATTATTATCTGATTTGTCAGCCATCACTGCTAGCAACGAGAGTCCCTTTATACCTAGTGAGGATCTCGTACATCATTCAGGAAACAAGGAATTATGCAAAGGCGTTTATAATGAAAAGAGTTTAAGTTATACGACGCGAATCCGAAACTCCAGAGATTGCAGGCTCATTTGTACCTGTATAACTATTACGAGAATACTCTCATGTTACTTTTTTTATTATTCCTGTGAAGGGAAAACTTGAACGACGTCAATTTTTAATTAAAGTTTTAGAGCAGCTGGTGCAACCAGTGCAAAGCCTCATGGAAACATCGCAGAGAAGCCTGAGATATCCAAGCAAATGGAAAAGCCAAAGCGACAAACGCTTCAGTGCGAAACGGAGGGAAAAGTTCGCGTGGAATCATCCCCCTAAAGTCAAGGAAACTAGATTACCGAGAATAAGAAGCGCCTGGGAAAGGTAAATCAGCCGTAGACAGATTGAATATTTGCACGAGGCGTGCGGTGGCGGACTTATGGACATTATTAAGCCTTTTTTCTACTAGGTTCGTGAACTGGTATGACGTTTATCGCTACACATATTATTCGTATTCGCATAATTTATAATAGAACCAGGTGGTCTGAACAGAATTTTAATTGTTTTGATAGCTAAAATATTGACTATTTTTGCGAGACGCAGAAAAGTAGGCGCCGATCTATCCACCTGGAATATTGAATCATCATTCTTTGCTTCGAACTATGCTCATTATTGTTCATCTTTAAAAAGGGGGGAGAAAGTCCATTCCATCTCGAATGAACGTAGTCCTTTCTTTTCCTTTGAGTTTCTCGGAATTCCCAGCCACGATCAGAGAAGATTCCATATCATTGGAATTCTCTCTTTGTCTTCTTCGATTCGGAATAAAAAGTATGAGCATTCGAAGAATATGAGCACTCTCCCAAGAATCTCGACAAGGAAATGAAGGAAAGCTGGAGGGGTCCAGCCGCCCGCCGCTTCTCGCCGCTCTTTTTTTTTTAAATGGTATTTTGATAATATTTTGCACGATTGTTCCATTTGCCTAAAATTTGGCGTTATAATTGACGTTGTAGTTAATTTTGATTATCGTAAGATTGTAGTGTGGAAAAGGCTAACTTGAACCTCACTTGGGACCCACAGAACACAAAAAAAATATTTCTAAGAATGGGCGGGATGGGAAAATCCATGGACCTGCGAGATCCAGCGGGCAGAACAGAGTGCACTGTGCCAATCAATGATCAACAAACAGAATGACAGTGTTATAGAAGCAGAGGACTTCCTATTTATTTATTTTCTTTAGTAGAATGCACTTGGCACGGGCGCAGGACCATTACGAATTCGTAACGGTCCGTCACGAACAACGATGCTATTGTTCGTAACAGGTTGCTCTATTTTTTGTTCAATTTATCATGGAGTTCTACGGGGAACTTATGGCTTACTTTTACTCATGAGCTTTAATCCTCAGTTCGTGGAGAGAGTAACAGCCGAACGAGGTTATTTAATCGAGAAAGCTTCACCTTAACTCACCTATCGTTCCAAGAAAGGAGATTCCGGAAAAGGTCCGAATGCACCGAGGGTACGAGGGAGACTGCTAATAACCTGAATCCGACGCGGCATGGCCCCTCGTTTGATTGACACTTCTTCGGCATTCGCCGCCGTCGAGGAGAGGGTTAAAACGAAAGGATAAACAAGCCATCCTTCACAGTCACGGCAAGGACGCGATGAACGTGGGACGCGAGATGACCTCGCTAACCCAGCCAGGGAAACATCAAAGTAGAATGAAGGATCCAGAAGATAAAGGACAAAGAGCAAGCAGATTGCCCACAGCAGTTGTGATGTGTCAGTGCAAGATGCAAAATCGTCGTTGCATTCCCGTTGCCGTAAAATCGAATTTCAATTAGATTTGACACCTCATCTCCTCTCTATCATAATGCTTCATTGTACTTCACTTGTGACGACGATGAGACAAGGCGCACTCGGACTAAGGCGTCAAAGGTTCATTTGCTTTGCTGGGTTTCGGTTGGGACTACCTCAGACAGAATGCAAATCCTTTCACCTTCTGGTAAGACATCTACTTTCGTCATCAGGGTCTTTGGGTTATGATGTCATGCCTACACCGTAATTTGGCCACCTTCGATTCACATTTTGGGCCGTTTCCCCTCTTAGCTCGCAACTCGTTAATTTCTCCTGTTGCTTTTCCAAAATGCCTCGTTTTCTTAACGAGTCCCAACCCCACGCTTCGACCCCTTGGACTCTTCCGTCTTCTTGTCCGTTCCTCAATCATGTTCTTTTAGATTTTCTTCGGAAAAGGGCCCAAAACACGAGATAACTGTCGCCTCCAAACTCTAGAGTTATGGTTAAAAAATTCCAAATCTCAAGGATAGATTTCGGATTTTCTGCGATTTTTTTGTACCGATAACAGATGTGGTGAATGTTTGTGTGTGTGTGTGTGTGTAGAAACTTTCTTGAATTGAAAATTCGTCAAGGAGCAACAGCAACGAAACAAAATCTCTCTATGGACAAATGTAATCGATCAAATAGCTCAAATTAATTGCTTTGGTCGTTGAGACTATATCCCTTTTCTTCTGAGACACACTCCGATTGACCCGCGCCTCCAGTTCATGGCATATACAGAGTGGTGAAAAAGCAAGTCGATACAGACTGGATGTTTTTTAATTTAACAATGCTTTACAACAACATTGGATGTTGACAGTGCCAATAGCAAAAAAAAAATAGAAAGTGCATTTCAAATACTTTCATTTTAATGTTTAACCTTGGTACTTCTTGCGTCTCAGCATTTCCTGAATTTGGCAGGAAAGAAGAGATACATCGACGAATTGAATGTAGAACTCATTCAATTCTCGGCAAATATAGCCTATAAGCAACCAGAGCACGTGGTTTACGGCTGTAGAACGATCGTTTTACAATCCAAAATGGATTACTCCATAAGCTTCATGTCCGAGCACGTACACACAGGCACGTTTACAGCCTATCTTTGGTGCTGATCACGGTGGTAAAGCAGCATCTTTCTTTCTAGTTCTCGAGATGATCGCGTTCAGAGATGAACTACATGGAATCATTTGGCAATGTCAAGTGGCTTGCTCCTGTTCCAATATGCACGATGGTCTCTCTTTCATCAAGCCTTGTTCAAGCCTTTCTCACAGTTGAAGCGGTTGTTTTAAGACACCTCGCATGGAATGGGGATATCCGAGTCACATTAGAAATATTTTCATGGAAATGTTAGATATTCAAGGCGCGGAGGATGATTAGTACATGATTGGACACCGCAGTGAATCAGTCCACGAGAAGATCCATGAACAAATTGTTTCATTTTCTTCCGCGAAGTACCTAAATCTTCATAGGAAGAGGAAATCCACAGCCTGAAAAGCTGAACTACAATACTTCAAACACGATGCTTACTTCTTAAGATTTAATGTATCAGAATTAAAAAAAAAGATTTTACATGAATTTAAACTATGGTTCAAGACGATTCCACAGATCAGATTTCAGAACACAGATCACAGTTCAGAGTACCTTCCAAAGGTATTCTGAACTGTGATCTGTGTTCTGAATATTTAATGCGACGAAAGAAACAGGGAAACTCCGTGGGTTTTTTTTTGGTAAGCGGAAGGCATCTTGAACCAATTTCACTCTTCCACTACATTCCCTAGTAAAAAATGTTCATTTATAGATCAGCTATAATTTAATATGCCTCTGAACCAAACCGTTGATAAATTTCTCGTTTACGTGGGAATTAGGGGTCAGAATTTTCCCGTCGTCTTCGATTCCTACATTCCTTCGATTCCTGATTCCTCAGCGCGAAGAGAAACTCCAGCTTTTCAATAAAAGTTTATTTGAAAATTGGGATACAACAATACTAAGACTAGTTGGGAGGTAGCTTCATAGCTATCACAAAATTAAAAAAGATTCCATAGCTTCACGATACATCGAGTTCATGCACTCATCCTCGAAGAACCAGCTCGAAGAATGAATCATGGTAAGGAGATCTAATCCACTTCCTCAATGGTGGGCCCACCGGCGGATTTTGATCGATTCTCACCAGGGGATGCAGCTCCTGGAGCCTGGTGGATCTTCATCATGAATGGCGTGCAGTCTTTCTGCAAATCCTTCAACTTGTGCTCGTATTCCTCCTTGTCCGCCAAATTATTATTGTCCAGCCAGCGCAGCACGTCGTCGCACTTGCTTGTCAACTGTTTCTTGTCGCTCTCCGACAACTTGTCCCCGGCTCCCTGGGCTGCCTGTTTCACACTGAACACGTAACTCTCCAACTGGTTCCGAGAGCTGATTCGTTCTCGCTGCTGGTCATCTTCATCCTTGTATTTCTCGGCCTCGTTCACCATCCGATCGATCTCTTCTTTGCTCAGTCGACCTTTGTCGTTCTTGATGGTGATGTTCCTGCTCTTTCCCGTGCTGGTGTCTTTCGCCGACACGTTCAAGATTCCATTGGCATCGATATCGAATGCGACCTCGATCTTGGGTACTCCTCGAGGGGCAGGTGGGATTCCGTCGAGTTCGAATCGACCGAGAAGATTGTTGTCCTTCGTCATGGCCCGTTCTCCTTCGTACACCTGGATTGAGACCCCAGGCTGATTGTCGGAATACGTGGTGAAGGTCTGGGAGGTCTTGGTCGGGATTCGGGTGTTCCGTTCGATCAGTTTCGTCATCACCCCTCCTGCAGTCTCGATCCCCAGGGACAATGGAGCCACGTCCACAAGGAGGACGTCTTGAATGTTGGAGCTGGTATCTCCGGTGAGGATGGCCGCTTGAACAGCCGCACCATAAGCCACGGCCTCGTCCGGGTTGATGCTATTGTTCAGACTCTTCCCGTTAAAGAAATCCTGAAGCAGTTTCTGGATCTTCGGGATTCGGGTCGATCCCCCGACCAAGACCACGTCGTGGATCGATCCCTTGTCCATCTTCGCATCTCGGAGAGCCTGTTCCACCGGTTGGAGGGTCCCTCGGAACAGATCCATGCAAAGTTCCTCAAATCGAGCACGCGTCATCTTCGTATAGAAGTCCAATCCTTCGTACAATGCGTCGATCTCGATGTTCGCCTCCGTGCTGCTCGACAGGGTCCTCTTGGCTCGTTCGCACGCCGTTCTCAACCGTCTCACTGCCCTCGGATTACCGCTGAGGTCTTTCTTGAATTTCCTCTTGAATTCCTCCACGAAATGTTGCACCATGCGGTTATCGAAATCTTCTCCCCCGAGGTGGGTGTCTCCGGCCGTGGACTTCACCTCGAAAAGGGACCCTTCGTCGATGGCGAGGATGGACACGTCGAAGGTCCCTCCTCCGAGGTCGAAGATCAGGACGTTCCTCTCTCCTTTCAGGTTCTTATCCAGTCCGTAAGCCAGGGCAGCCGCCGTGGGCTCGTTGATGATTCGAAGCACTTCCAGTCCGGCGATCACGCCTGCGTCTTTCGTCGCCTGGCGTTGGGAGTCGTTGAAGTAGGCAGGAACAGTGATCACGGCCTGTTTCACGCTTTCACCCAAATATGCCTCGGCAGTCTTTTTCATTTTGGTCAACACCATCGAAGAAATCTCCTCCGGGTAAAATCTCTTCGTCTCCCCCTTGAATTCTACTTGGATCTGGGGTTTCCCTCCGGTTCCCTTCACCACCGAGAACGGCCAGAGCTTCATGTCGTGCTGAACTGGGGCGTCATCCCATTTTCGGCCGATGAGACGTTTCGCATCGAATACCGTATTCGTTGGGTTCATGGCAGCCTGGGAAACAAATTACATATTATGTTGACTAATTTTGTTCAAGCTTAATTCATTAGATGTGGGTCAATTTTCAACACATTTTCATTAAGTACTCCGATTTCTCCTAATTTGAATTGAACGATGGAGTCGATGTGAAGCTTAAACAATTAAAAGTGGTAAGTATTGCAGTAATTTAGGAATACATGGAGAAACTTTAACTCACTTGATTCTTGGCAGCATCACCGATTAGCCTCTCAGTATCCGTGAAGGCAACGTATGATGGAGTCGTTCTGTTGCCTTGGTCGTTGGCGATGATCTCCACCTTCCCATGCTGGAATACGCCAACACAGGAATAGGTGGTTCCCAAGTCTATGCCGATCGCTGGAGCCTTCATTGTTGCTGTGTTTCACAATCAGGATCAATTGCAGTCACGCACGAAAATTTTCTTCGATCCCAGTCACAAGACAAGAGACTAAGACTGATTCTGTCTTGGATCTGTTTCACCTTGTATTGCTTCTTGAAGTGAATGATGAGTCCTCATTCAAACTTCGGGATATATATAGGGAAGCGGGTGGGCAAGAGATTTTTCCGGAATTTTCTACTGGGGACTAGGGCCATCTGCGCGTGTGTGAGCCTGGCATGCTTCCCACCCTTCGCCAATAGGGAGACGAGTCCTGCGCGAGAGCGTTCTGGAACATTCCACGCATGACGTCATGCGCTATCATCCGCGCTTAGCCTGTGAAGCTTCTAGAACAGCTGTTCTCAGACTGTGTCGCGACCCCCAGGGTGGTCTCTGGGATTGGAGATAATTAAGGAATCTCTTTTCTTTCGCAGATTTCATGAAGGCGGTCGAGCAATGTTTTCAGAGAAAAATTTCCGATGAATCTTTTCCTATTACAGCGAAAAGAAACTCCATTTGAGGAACAACCCAGTAAGTAGGTCATTAGGAGCATAGTCGAAATTCAAGTGAAAGTAGAGCCATTGCTGCTCTAATAACAGCATCTCTTGCATCAGCTTTGTCCTTAATCACCCCTGGGGGTGGAGGTGAGTAAGAGCAAAACTGGCGTCAGAGGTGAAGTACGTGGGTGTGAGTTATGTGATTGTGGACCCAGTACCACTAACCTCTTAGTGAGAAAGCTCGAGACTATAGCCTTTTCTAGTTTGGATATTAGATGTTGACTGGTCATTAATAATATTGATTTTGTGGCCTAGGGGTGAGGTTTTGGGGTACCTTTTGCATCAATATACCTTTGTGAATCTGGATTTTCTTCTTTGGTCATCAAAAGCAAATATAGCAACCGAATCACTGTTGAAGGTGACCTGTGGATGAGAATCAGCAGCAGTGTGCCTCGTTTGGATCGCTTTTTCTCAACAAAGCAGGCATACCATCGCACTAAAAAATGAGTAGCTCTGATGAAAAATAAATTTAAACAAGATCGCGTTTTCATTTCACTTTAATGAGCAGCCCAGGATGCTTATGCCATCCAGTTTTCCTATACCATGTACTGGACTTCTCTTCAGCCTGAAAATCGAGGGTCGCAAGCTTTTGGCTACCGTGAAACGGGATCGTGGACCCAAAAAGTTTTGAGAACCGCTGTTCTAGATCATTCCAAAAAAAATAATTATTCTATTATCACCTTCCTGAAAGCGTTTCCCTACTTTTCTTTGTCAAAATTTTATCTTTTGCCAGTCTTTTTTTTTGCAGTACTCCATGAATGAGGCCTGTGTAAGTACTGTATATTCCGTAAAGGGGACCCTGGCCTAGATTCCGGCAGATCTGGGGCTTGGGGAATATTCATTTTCGTGTCGTTTAGCCTTCCTCGTCAATACATTTTTAAATTCCGAACTCCTCATACATTTGGAATGAATAAATTCCCGATTCTTGGCGGAATGTTGGGGAGCAGCAGTGATGAAAGGCATAACAAATGAAACCTTTATAAAGAAATTAAATCCCATATATTAACTGAAAGATACTTCGGTCCTCGTAGTGGTATCCTATCCTTCTGAGAAAACACTCCGACTAACTTCGCCTCGATCTCGTGACATACAATTTGGTACGAAAGTAAGCTGTTCCATCTCTTTCATTTAAAAAATTGAAAATGAATGAGGAATTTCCTTAGGCGGGCTCCATTCAACTGTGCTTTACAACAATATGGGATAATTACAGTGTTACCGAGCGCATGAACGTGGTTTACTGCTTCAGAATGATGATTTAAACTTCCCTAAACGCATAAGTGTCAGGTCGAGTGACAGGTGGCAGTTCATTGCTCCCCTGACGCCGGATTTCTTGTTGCTCATTCATTTGTACCTCTGCAACCGATCCAACGACCGAGAACTTCCTCTCGTACCCTTGGCTCTGATCGCGTTGGTAATGAGCGGACACACCATCTTGTTGAAACAGTATCTCGTAAGATGTCCATGACGTAAGAAAGATGAACTACATGGAATCCAGAGCATTGCTGATTACCTTGCTCTTGCCCGAAAACGAAAGGCCCAATCAACTCATGAAGCGTTGGTCTCTCTTTAATCAAGAATACCATTCTCACAATTACAGAAAGTTTTTATTTTTATTTTAGACATCATTCAACCGGATTATCCAAAACACACCAACATTTGTATAGAAATCAGACATTTTCATGACGCGAATGATGTTATACATCATTAGACTCGAACAGCATGAGTCTGTATGGAGGATACATAAAGTTCCATCATATATTACAATGGGCCTACATCGTTTGAAGAAAGTTTAAAGCTAGTTGGATTGCATAATGTATGGACTGAGATTGAAGCTACATTGCAAGTTCTATTCAAAAATCCAATCTAAATCTTTTGATTCAACAAGGAAACAAAAGGGCAGACTATCGCCATCGTTCTCGCAGACACCCAGAAAATACCTGTTTTTCAATAAAACTTTATTTGAAAAATGCGGATCAGAAAACAAATCGACAACAAAATATCGTGGAGAACAAAATGACATTGTGATACCATCTATCACACGAATCACAAAATAAGACAATGGAAGTCTATAACAATTCATGCACTCGTTCTTTAAGAACCAGCTTAAAGAATGAATCATGACTATGAGATCTAGTCCACTTCCTCGATGGTAGGTCCACCGGCGGATTTCGATCGATTTTCACCAGTGGATCCACCGCCTGGAGCCTGGTGGATCTTCATCATGAATGGCGTGCAATCTTTCTGCAAATCCTTCAATTTATGTTCGTATTCATCCTTGTCCGCCAACTGATTGTTGTCCACCCAGCGAAGCACGTCCTCACACTTGCTCGCCAACTCCTTCTTGTCGCTCTCCGACAACTTGTCCCCGGCTTCCTCGGCCGCCTGTTTCACACTGAACACATAACCCTCCAACTGGTTCCGAGAACTGATTCGCTCTCGCTGCTTGTCATCTTCATCCTTGTATTTCTCGGCTTCGTTCAACATCCAATCGATCTCTTCCTTGCTCAGTCGACCTTTGTCGTTCTTGATGGTGATGTTCCTGCTCTTCCCCGTGCTAGTGTCTTTCGCCGACACGTTCAAGATTCCGTTGGCATCGATGTCGAATGCGACCTCGATCTTGGGTACTCCTCGAGGAGCAGGTGGGATACCGTCGAGATCGAATCGACCGAGAAGGTTATTGTCCTTCGTCATGGCCCGTTCTCCCTCGTACACCTGGATTGAGACCCCAGGCTGGTTGTCGGAATACGTGGTGAAGGTCTGGGAGGTCTTGGTCGGGATTCGGGTGTTCCGTTCGATCAGTTTCGTCATCACCCCTCCTGCAGTCTCGATCCCCAGGGACAATGGAGCCACGTCCACCAGAAGGACGTCTTGAATGTTGGAGCTGGTATCCCCGGTGAGGATGGCCGCTTGAACGGCTGCACCATAAGCCACGGCCTCGTCCGGGTTGATGCTGTTGTTCAGACTCTTCCCGTTGAAGAAATCCTGAAGCAGTTTCTGGATCTTCGGGATTCGGGTCGATCCCCCGACCAAGACCACGTCGTGGATCGATCCCTTGTCCATCTTCGCATCTCGGAGAGCCTGTTCCACCGGTTGGAGGGTCCCTCGGAACAGATCCATGCAAAGTTCCTCGAATCGAGCACGCGTCATCTTCGTGTAGAAGTCCAATCCTTCGTACAATGCGTCGATCTCGATGTTCGCCTCCGTGCTGCTGGACAGGGTCCTCTTGGCTCGTTCGCACGCCGTTCTCAACCGTCTCACTGCCCTCGGATTACCGCTGAGGTCTTTCTTGAATTTCCTCTTGAATTCCTCCACGAAATGTTGCACCATGCGGTTATCGAAATCTTCTCCCCCGAGGTGGGTGTCTCCGGCCGTGGACTTCACCTCGAAAAGGGACCCTTCGTCGATGGCGAGGATGGACACGTCGAAGGTCCCTCCTCCGAGATCGAAGATCAGCACGTTCCTCTCTCCTTTCAGGTTCTTATCCAGTCCGTAAGCCAGGGCAGCCGCCGTGGGCTCGTTGATGATTCGAAGCACTTCCAGTCCGGCGATCACGCCTGCGTCTTTCGTCGCCTGGCGTTGGGAGTCGTTGAAGTAGGCAGGAACCGTGATCACGGCCTGTTTCACGCTTTTACCCAAATATGCCTCGGCAGTCTCTTTCATTTTGGTCAACACCATCGAAGAAATCTCCTCCGGGTAAAATCTCTTCGTCTCCCCCTTGAATTCTACTTGGATCTGGGGTTTCCCCCCACTCCCCTTCACCACCGTGAACGGCCAGAGCTTCATGTCGTGCTGAACTGGGGCGTCATCCCATTTTCGGCCGATGAGACGTTTCGCATCGAATACCGTATTCGTTGGGTTCATGGCAGCCTGGAAAGAGAAGTTGGAAATGCCATTGACTATTTCTGGTCACGTTGCTAGTAATATTTGAAAAAAGCATAAAATAATCGTTTCCATGAAGTAGACACAGGGCCGGATTAAGTAGTTGGGAAGCCCGGGCAAGTGAATTCCTGCGGACCCCCGCTACTTTATGCAAATGTAATCCTTTTTTGAACTTTTTTCATTCGGGGGTCCCCTGAAAGAGTGGTCCCGGAGCAACTGCCCCCCCCCCCTTTCTACTTATTCCGGCTCTGAGCAGGAATCAATTCCTAATTAAGTTAAATTGGGATATAGGAAGTTCAAATTTAGATGTCACTAAAGTGCATGTGAATAGTACTGGCGTAATTTAGGAATACATGGAGGAACTTTAACTCACTTGATTTTTGGCAGCATCACCGATTAGCCTTTCCGTATCCGTGAAGGCAACGTAAGATGGAGTCGTTCTGTTGCCTTGGTCGTTGGCGATGATCTCCACCTTCCCATGTTGGAATACGCCAACACAGGAGTAGGTGGTACCCAAGTCAATCCCAATAGCTGGAGCTTTCATGGTCGTCGTTTCTTTCAATCAGGAACAATAGCAGTCACACGTGAGAATTATCTTCACAGCAAGTCACAGCACAAGATATTAGGAGTGAGCTCCTCTGACTTGTATCTGCTTCACCTGGTATTGCTTCTCGATGTGAATGATGAGCCAGAGATTGGACTTCAGAATATATATAGGGAAGCGAATGGGGGAAGAGAATTTTCTGGAATTTTCGACGGTGCACTTGGGCCATTGGCGTGTGCGAGCTGTCTAAAGCATTCCTTCCACTCGACCAACAGGGAGTCATGGCTTGCGCGAGGGAGTTCTAGAACCTTCTGCGCATTACGTCATCAGTTATTCTCTGCCAGCCAGAGAGGCTTCTGGAATATTCTGAAATATTCGAAAATTCACTTGCTCTTCTTAACTAAGTAGGTTCCGCGGGATCCCTTTTTTTTTTCTCTTTCTTTCTCTCATTACTGGTACGGTATGATGAAAAGAATCCTTGAGGGAACTGCTGGCATAGTTTCCTTGGGCTGATTTGTATCTATTGGAATTTTCATTTTCGTCTTGTGCTTGATATTACGAAAAAAGTTTTCACCAACAAAAAGAAAATTGCAAGAGCTTGAGAAGAGAAGGATTCTTGCTCATCTCGAATTGGAGAAAATGTTGCGTCGCATCTAAAAGGGAAGGAATGAATAAATCTTGTGGAACCAAATGACTGGAAGTTTTCGTCTAAGCTCTTGCTTCTTGCTCAATGAATGGAAGTTCCATGTGTTTTACTTTGACGAATAACGTTTATATGAACACTTGCTTCTCCTTAGAAGCACCTCCGTATGGTTGTTGGTCTTCAACCTTTTCGTGCTGCCTGTTGTACCGACATCTATCTTATGAGAAAAGCTACTATTTTATGTTTTGTCTGCTAGATGTCAGCAACAGTCGAGGAAACTTCTCGCACTTCTTGGCTGTGCTTGAAATTTGTAGTGCTGCTTCGGATTCAAGCGTTAAACATTCAAGGTATCTCCTTTGAGGTTTGAGAGTCTTGTCTGGGATGAACGGAGCTTAGCGCATTCCGGAAAAGTGAACAAGAGAGCTCCTTACCACCTATAATCTGTTTCGCCGCTCTTTCAAGATAAAGCATATACAGCTGTTTATCGAAAGAAGCACAGTCCTACAAATGAAAGAAATTCCAAACAATTTAGTACCAGACTGATTTTGTTGGAAAATGTGTCTGGATTTTCTCCCCAACCTGACAGCCTCAATATTGTGTTTTCACCCCACCTTCACAAAAAAGTGTATCAGCTACTACTTTCAAAAACGATTGTCACTCCCATATATGAATTAAGGATTGCAGTGACCACCTCAAAAGTGCATTTCCACAGGAGCTTGGCTTCGGCGTCACGCTCAGGCGCGACGCCTTGATAACTATGGCAGGCAATTACGCCGTTGGAGTAGGCCTACTTGTACATTGCAGTTTCATGGGCAGTGCTTGTGCTGACTGTGGTCTTGAAGGGGGAAACAGGATAGAATTCTGGCAGGCCTAGTTACAGTGCGTACTGCTGAACCTAGCTCTGGTGTGTATATTGTGACCTTTTTATATTTAATTATCTATAAACTATGGCCTACCCTAATCTGCGGGCGTAGTCGCCTTGGGTTCAATTGTAAGCTTAAGTTATCCAACTGACGCCAACTGTAGAATCTGACGCTTTTTAAAATTCTTACTTTCTTCGGTAGACCTAGGCCCATGCCTAGTGAACCCTTCCAGGAAAACAGTCATTAATTAAGCAGGGCTAGGCTTCAAGTCATAATCAAATTCTAGGCAAGGTCCAAAGCAGGGCAATAAGTGCACTTGTAGTAGTCCTTATTATCAGTTATTTGGTAACCATTATCAGTAACAGTATTTTTTTTCAATTAATTATTACAATTACTATGTGAGGATTTTTGTCTTAGCAATTTATTGCAAAGGCTCAGTTAAGAATTTCAGCTGGAAGTCATGGTGGTTCCTGCTTCATCAGTAATTGGATGGAATTTACATGATTAGCTTGGACAGAATGGGGCCTCAGCTGCACATTAAAGCACTACAGTAGCCTCACACACATGACATATGTTTACTAGATTCACTACATGGAAATGAAATTCCTTCAGATCATCAAGACATTGCAAGCAGTAATTGTTATGATAGGCATTGAACCCAATTAAAAATTACCCAAATAACTTTTACCTACTCATTATTTCATATATCAATAATTAATTCAGTACCCGTTGCCAAGGTTTTTGTGTTGCCTTGGCCAAGAGTGTTTTCCAGTTGAGTTTAGCACCATTTTTGTTTGAGTTTCAAAGGCTTTCACTTGACTAGGCTTATGTATTTAATTTGTGTAGCCAATATCAGGTGCTCAGCATGCATTCTGCACATTTGGAGAGTAACTTCAGGCCTAGTGAAAAAGTGACGTTACTCTTGCCCCAGTAGAAGTGTGATTTGGTGCAGGCCTACAGTTTATTTGAATGACTCATTCATTTGTTTAGATGATAAAAAAAATGTGAGTTCTTGGGAAGTGTTCTAACTTCCATCAGTTGGAGGTGACCATTTCACCCTATCAAGACCAAGTGAAGCCTTTGTATGTGGAAGATAAGAAAAGGCAAAATGAACCCTCAGGAAGAAAATCCCAGAGAGTTTTTGGGTGCTCACCATCATATGGCTATGCTGTACCATCCATTGAGTTTAGAAATGCCAATGTGGCCAGCTTATAGATATCCTGTTCGTGAAATTGCAAGAGAAGCAGCCAGCAGATTCCGGACAACTTTTGATGAAAGAAGACAGATATTGAGAAATCAACATGTGGAAAGTCCTTTTTGTGATTGCCTAGAAAAAAAGGCTTATGCTTCTTGTCATTGTGGTGAAGAAGATACAGGTAACCCTGCTCTGATGCCACTTATCATTATATGTACAAGTCATTGGCCTATCTTGTTCATATGCTGAATTTCCATTTATCTCTTTGATTATTATTTCTAGAGTTTGACTGGCATTGGGACAATGACAGTGTTCTTGGATCCGTGGTCTTGACTGACACGTTGCGAGATATCAAGTTCCATCCTGTTTACAGCTCTGGAACAGCAGCCATAAAAGGATGCTACCAATTCCAGGATGTGTTTCATCACTACTGGGAGGTGAAGATGACAACACCAGTTTATGGAACAAGCATGGTAATTTCTTGGAACTCTTAAGACATTAGATATATTGACATGCAAAAAGAAAGAAGTCTTAATCTGAAATTGGGGAATATTGAAGATGGTTGGAGTGGGGTCTAAAGATCTGGATGTTAGTCAACGTCTGGTGAGGTACTGCAGTCTTCTGGGTCAGGATGAGCACTCCTGGGGACTGTCACATCTAGGTGAGACATCAATCTTGCTTGTTTTGAGGAAAGTAGTGCCTTATATAATGAGAATTTTATTGCACAGCAGTCCTTTTCAAAACAACTTACCACCCTAATCATTCCTATTCACATTTCTGTATTTTAACTGAAAGTCAGGGTGGGGCAGGGCCACAGAGTGAGAGCACCAAATCCCAACCAAGCAATATCAGGAGGAAAATATTACCTCCAAGGGGGCACCAGGGCAGGTGACTACGCCCCTGCTCCCTCTTAAAATACATCCCTGCCCATTCACTCTGATGTATGAACTCTAAAATTGGCTGGTTCAGTATGTTTTCCTCTTTCCCAAGGCCTCCCAGTCCTCCATTGGTACTACACTGTTACAATGTAGTACTAATGCATCACAGCATGGCAGTCTAGTATATTCAGATATACAATAGTGCATAATTAATAGTACCTGCATAAACAGATACCCTTCATATTGTTTATGCCAGGTCAAGAACTACTGTTATTTAAAAAAATGAGTGACTTAAGAATGGAATTATCTCTTAGGAGGCTATACTTTGGGGCATCCCTGAGTGCTTGCTTTACTGAGATTGAAAATTTAGTTTCAGTTAACTACTGTCTTATATACACCAACAGGTAACTCATATGTTCATATTGGGTATCTCAGCATACAGTGTACATTTTTGGGGACATTTAAAGCTGAGCAAGTAGTTTATGGATGAAAATCCATGTTGTTGAAATAATATGGGTTTCACCATTATGGATTGAGCAACTTTTAACAAGAACATGTTCAACTTTTGTGGTGTACTGTTATGAGGTTTGAAGTACTGAACTAATAGGAATGCAATTTTTATCCTAGTGTGTACTGATCAATGTATTTACCATTAAATCAAAGGAGAACTTGACATTGCTGTCATTGCTGGTAGGTGAAATCCACCACAAAGGAAAGGTGAAGAAGTACTGTCAACCCTTTGGTCAAGGGTGCATTGTGGGGCTGTACTTGGATCTCTGGAAGGGAACACTTTCTTATTTTCTCAACAGAAAGCCTCTTGGTCAGTTGCAACTATATTTTCAATTAATGAATATGTTGTATGCCTCTTTGATGATTTTTTCTTCCTCTCAGGTGTGGCATTTCATGGACTGAAGCATCAGAAGTTGTACCCTATGGTGAGCTCCACAGCTGCACGCAGTGGGATGAGACTTGTAAGTGCTCGAAGTTTCCCCATGACGTTGCAGCTCCTCTGCCTGGAACAGTTAAGGCATTGCCTACCCAAGGAACTCTCCATCTTGGATGCCTTCCCTTGGCCACCCGGATTTGCTCGTTTCCTGTGCAATAATTTCTGGTGGATCGTGACTGATCGAGAACCACTAAGGAACTCTACTATTCCAGTCCCCCTTGTGTTCCTGGGGGATGAAGAAGAGTCCAGGAAACGGCGAGGTGATAAGACCAGTGATCTTGGAGATGCTTGTTCTTCCTCTGATGAAGAAAGACAGAAGCGACTGAAGACTGCCGCATGACTGGCTCAGTTTGAGTTTGCTTTGAACTATGTTTTCTTATGTTTTTGACATCAGATATGGATGGTCTCAATATTGGATATTGCTTGTTGGAAACTAATCTTGGAAAAGAAATGCAGGTCATTAAATCTATTCCCTCTCAAGACAATCTTGCACCTTTTTCTCTACTTTGAACAAGTGGTCTCAGAAAAAGCCCCATCATATGCTAGCATACAAATGAGAGGAACTGGTTTTCATGGGGTATACATTTGCCCAAAGAGGAAAAGCTATCAGATTTTGTTTTTACTGTGAGCAGTAGTTTTTCCATAAGGTAGGATGATAGAAAAAAAATTATGCATTGGTACTGGAATATCTTCATTCTCCACTGAGGTCAGACCCAAGAAAGGAGAAATAAATCATGAAACACATGAATTAACAAACAAGTAGCATCTCATCACAGTTCAGCAGGCAAAAGGATTTGATGATGTGACAGAACTCTCCTTATATAATTCTGGTTAAGAGCGATGCAAAAAGCCAGGAGAAATTGAATAGCCTAGTAGGTCAGAGATGACTGCATTTGTGTTTGATTCTCCAATATCTTCCCCATTCAGAAAATCATCTTCCTCATTCTCTTTGGTCTCCACTTTTGGCTCTTCTACTTGCGGCTCTTTATATTCTCTGTAAAGCTCTTTGATGACCTCATATGACCTGTAATATGAAATGAAAGTCCTTTCAATGCCATATCAAAAACTGTTTCCTGATAAAGGAGAAATAAAACCAGGTACATACTCAGGTAAGAGATATGGATCAAATGGGAAAAAGGGCTCAAGTGGCTCATTTGTGTTTTCCTGGATCCTCAAAGTCTGATCAAGGATTACAGTGGGTAGCTGAGATCGCCGGTTCCTCTCGATGATGGTGTAGCAGTACGCCAGCTGGTAATGCCGAGTCACAGACGCAAAGTTCCTCACAGTTGCTTGATGGCACAGCTTCAGGGGATTCAGTTGACAGCTCACAATCCGTTCAAAGTTCAGACTCTGGAGGAAGCTGATCCCTGGAAATGAGTGATCTTTTTTCAACTGAGAACATAAATTGTATTTGGTGGAAAGAAGATGGAATACCTACTTTTGTGCCTGTGCACGAATTCCTGGTGACGAAATGCAAAGAGATAAAAGGCAGCCTGACAGGCTGCATAGAAGGGTCTATGAAGATTGCGACTTGGATATGCTTTTTCACTGTTATCCTGGCTGTCAATGTAGCAATGAATCCAAGAACAGAAAAGCTCCAAACAAGCTTTCACCAGGCTGTGAAAATAAATTTTCTGTAAAAATGAAGTATCTCAGTAAATACAGGAGATCCAGCCTCAGACTGAACCCACCTGAAAGAAACGAAACTGGCTCGGGCCAAGTAACTGGCCATGTAGCCTACTGATAGCTGTCTGATGATTGGAGGTGTGCTTGGCCTTTCAAAGATCTTCCACAGATTATCAACAAAGGCATCAGGGAGCTGAGGATGGAAGCTGGTGAGATAGAAGAGAAGAAACTGGACATGAGAGGATGAGCGTGCAGGGAGAACCAGCCTCTCAAACACCGACCACATGTCCTTGAATAGCTGTTGCATTTCCTTCACATCAAGAACCCCATTAGGGTGACACACCTTGTGGACATGATTGCACATTTCCTGCATGAGTATGTCCAACACCTGAGAGCAGTGCTGACTCTCATCTGGCTCAGAGTCAATGTCCTGTTTGACAGGAAAAAAAGTATGACATGAGCAAGAATGATCTGACTCTTTATGGTCCAAAAAAAATTAACACTGAGAGGAAATACCATCTTGAAGACAGCATCTGGCAGCTCCTCAGCTTGCAGAGATAGTAGATCTTCACGAGAACACTTCATATCCAGCTCCAGCAACCTAAATAAAATCAATAACCTGCTTTTCTGCTGTGATCTAATATGATGGACATGCAGGCCCCTTTCAAACTTAACCTTATCACTATGACATGTGGTCTGGGTGAACCCCAGCTCTGTTTTCTTATTCTGCAGAAAACTTTTTTACTCTGGGTCATAATTTTCAATGACAGCTCTCACTAGGACGTTTCAAAACAGTGCTAATAGTACATAAAAATTAGGACTTCATATAGTTCCAGTTTGTCATACTTTCATGAAATGCAGCACATTTCTGTAACCTGGGGTCCACGGAGGGGAATTTTCACATGCCATGTTGTCCAGACCATCAGAAAATAGTCTGTGACATATGCCTTTGGAATAAATGGGGAGTCAAATGCAAGCACAAAGAGATAAGTACGAGATCTCAAAATATGCACATTTATTTTTAAATAAAAATAAATACTAAAAGTGAAACCTCCAAGCTCAAACTTTCACTCTCTGTGCTGTAAAGAAAATTGTTGGTGACACATATTATGAAAAAATAAGGAGTAATTGAGTGAAAAGAAATTAGTGCAAAAACTTTGAATTTTGAAAATAAAAATAAAATAAAAACAAAATGAGGAAAAAGTTGAGTATATTGAACATGTTGAGTGCATAATATATTTTGTTACATTCAGTTTAAAAATATTCAAAAAGTGAAGTAATAAAAATTAACCTGAAAAAGTGTCCTTAAATAACCTTTATTTAAAAATATGAATTTTTAGCAGCAATACTTACTGAAAAGCCAGGTCTAAGTGGGCAGACCCTACACCACAGTAAAAGGGATCCAAGTGGACTCCAGGTCATAGCAGGGCATAAGCAGGTCACAGTGATAGGGTTAAAAGATGTATGGCATTCCTGCTCAAGTGATCAACTTCCAAAACTTTTTTTTTGCACCATGAACAATGATTTGCTTAGAGAAAAATAAAAAATCATCCATGGTAGCTTCCCAAGGTTTCTAAAACATTCTAAATTTTATTGCACCAGTTCAAACAGTTCTTGAGATATGCTTCCACATAGTTTATCACCAACAAAAAGGGTTTACAGACTCAAATTAAAGCTGAGATAAAGCTAAATCAGATTTTTTACAAGTTTTATTATATATTTCTTATGGAGGTAAATTGTCAGAAATGAATGTCAAACTTTACACCCAAAATATGAACATAAGGAAATGTGGCAACAGAATGAGCTTTTGGAACTGGCTACTACTACTAGTGAATAGCAAAGTAAAAAGCTAGATAACAACTTGCTACTTTGTTACAAGCAGCAGCATTACATTCCTTTTAAAATTTAATATTTTACCAGATTCCTCAATCTTTGCAATTCATCTTCTCAACAAGGTAATATGAAATTAATGCTCTTTCTACACATAGATGACTCATTCTGTTCATTTGAATTTTCATACCTCTGTGATTTTACTACCTACAAAGAAGCCCTTTTGGTGAGAAATTTTTCCCATCAGTAACAGCAACATTACATTGAAATCTGTGTATCGGAGACTTTTTTTTTCTACTGAAAGGAGTTGACATCTCAGGTGCAACAGTTAATACCATGGAGACTAACCATTTGCAAAAAATGACTGCATTAGGAAATCAAGGCTAAAAATAGCTGTTTGACCTCTATGTTAGTCCCAAGGAGACTAACATGGGGCAGCATATCTTTAGAACAACTCTAGCTAGAACACAATGAATTTTTTGGTAAATCAGAAAAGCTACTGTACATGAATTTGTTCCAGCAAATCCCTACTAGAGGTACAACCACCATTTGATCACTTGAGCTGGAATGCCTCATGTCTTCATGTTAAAAAGTAAACTTGAGATATTTAACTGCTGGATTATATTGACAGAGCTTCATAAAAACCAAGAATCAGCATACCTATCAAAAATTATGAGAAAGATGTCTGATCTTATATCAGGATAGTCCACAGAGACATGGAGGAGATTCCTCAAATAAAAATGATGATCTTCTTTGCTCTTCCACAAGAATGGCAAACCATTCTTCAGCAGTGAAGGGAAGTGACATCGATAGCTGTGGATGAACAAGATCAATTAATCAGAAGTTAGTTGAACCATGATGAGTTATAAGATGCTACACTCTTACAGGCAGTTTTGCATATTTTTCACATACTCAGAAGATAGCATGAGCATTAACTTACATTGGGACAATCTTCAGTACAAGTTTCATCACAGTAAGAGCAAAATTTGCTCCTTCCATTGATGAGTAAGAGGTGTCATTCTGGTTCTCACTGGTAGCATTCCCTGCAAGAAACATAACAATGATATATCAAGGACACAACTAGCTAAAGGGTGATCAGACAATATTGCATACAATCAATGTAAAATTGGATTCTTAACACTGATCACAGGGCTTTCATGAAATGTTTCAGAATGCACAACTCATCTATAAGAGCCTCTGAGGCTATCTTGACCTTGTACAGTCTCACTCATATGGGCCTAGGATGCCTTCACATGCAGACTAATTAACACATTCGCTGCCATATAACAGTATAGCTGTTTTCATGAATCCATTTGGCCTAGGCCAGGAATCCTGATATTAACTAATTCCTGTAGAGAAACACCATGTGAGGCAGGAGCCCTTAGTCAATCAAGGCAGACCCAACTGCAATGTTACTTTGCAGGTAAATCACCACTGGTAGTGTAGGGGTTCAACTGATCCAACATATTCAATATATATATACAGGGTGTTAAGAAAGTTGCGTCCCATCACAATATGCCTATAACTTCAGCAAAAATTTAAAAAATCAGGAAATTTTTTAAATACACAACAACAAGAACAGTTAACTGATTTAAAATCACTTAATAGTTTTCAATCCTTGGCACGGATGACAAGGTTCAGACGACCCACGAAATGCAACGACTGATTTTCGCAAGACTTCCTGTGGAATTTGCTACCATTCTGTTCAGGGATAGCTTGAGAGAATCCAAAGAATGGTGCTTTGTAGCACACACTTTGCTCTCCAAGATGGACCAAATTGAAAAATTTAGGGGGTTGACATCGGGGGAGTAAGGGGGCCATTGTGAAGTCGAAATGAAGTCAGGGACATTCGTCTGCAGTCATTCCTGGGTCATCTGCACCTTGTGAGCTGGCACTGAGTCCTGCTGGAAGACCCAGCTGCCTCCATTGAAATATTCTGTGGCCCACAGAACCAGGTAGTCTTCCAGGATGCTCCTCCATTATACTTCAATGTTGACCTTCATCTTCACAGGCACAAAAAATAGCGGTCGACACTAAAGTGTACATTGACATCCTGGAAAAGTCTGTCAAGTCTTGGATCAAGTCCAACTACCCTCCAGACACCAACTAGGGGAGCAGCACCAGTTCGCAAACAGGGAGCCAGTTAGCAAACGAGGATCATGAAATGCGATTTGGCCTTTTGTTTCTCGAATTACACTCTCCAGCTTTTGGTAGCTGCAGAAAATGGATTGCTAGATTAATTAACACTTGGGATGGAGTGTGAAACTAGAGTAACAAAAGGCCAAATCGCATTTCATGTCTCTCGTTCACTAACTGGCTCCCTGTTTGCAAACTGGTGCCACTCCCCTATATCTTCCAGCAGGATGGGGCCCTTCCCACACTGCAAAGAAGACCCAGAAGTGGCTGGAGGTCAACTTTGTGTCCTTCTGGGACAAGGATATGTGGCCCCCCAGCTTCCTAGATCTTAATCCCCTGGAGTACAGCATGTGGGTGTTTGTAGAGGAGGCTGCCTGCAACAAACCCCACTCATCTGTGGCAGACCTGAAGTCATCCATCATGAAGGCCTGGTCCAACATGAAGGAGGACTACATCATCAAGAAGTGCTCAGCCTTCAGAGGCCGTTTGGAGGCTGTGATCAGGGCTAATGGTGCCCATAACGAGTAAAATATATTGCCAGATGTTAAATCAACTACTTATTATTAAATAATTTTTTTTTTATCATTATCTCTCCTTGTCTTAGTTCTTGATGAGGTAAATCTGGAGTTGGTCAAAGTTCTAAGCAAGAGAATACAAATGAACTGATGCTTACATGAACTGCCCTGTTGCTCACTAGGAAGAAACTGAGCAATGAGCACCTTGAGTACCAAGTCAGTATAAAAGCAATGTGCTGTGAGCAAGGCCGAGATGAAACTTTCATATTCCCTCTGCAAAGGAGGACTTGGATTGGGCCAAACAGATCTCTGCAAAATAATAATAAAAATAAGCCATGATGAAAAGCATTAAGATAAGACGTCCTGAGCAAGTTCCATTGTAATTTTTGGAATGGTAATTTCAAACTCACCAATAAGGCATTCACAACTGCCTCCAGTCTTCTGTCGAAGGCAGCAATTTTCTCTCCACAGTCTCTTAGACATCCAGCCAACACACCCTCCTTTTCAACAAAGCAGGGATGGTGTTGAATCATAAGATGTAATAATGCTTCACAATAGCATTTCCCTTGTTCCAACTAAAGGACTTCAAGGATTTAAATGCAAGAATCACATGAAGAGAAGCCTATTAATGATAATGACAATGCAGATTTGAAATAAATTGGAGCTTAAAGGCAAGAAAATTTCAAGAACAAAAGTCCTTCGTGCAAATGAAACTAAGATACGGTGATGAATAAGGCCATAAACAACAAAGAATTCTTTCAAACAAAAACATAATTACACCAACATAATGAGAAATTTGGTAGCCTATAGGAAAATATTCAAGAACTTCAAAATTTATTCAGTGAATATAGGGAAAAAAAACTTGGTAGAAGACATTCCTTCAGGTAAAAGCAAAAAAATATCAAAGAAGGCCTACACTCAATATAGTGCAATTTAATTCTTACTGAAAAAGTCCTGCAAGATTTATGGCTGACCTTGAAAATGAAATCCAGAGGGTAATCTGGCACAAATAAAGTGCATCCAAAAGTACAGGAGCAAAGTTAATCTAAAACACTTCAATTACTACCCTAATATGCAACTACCATCTTTCTTACATTTATTATCCAAAGTATGATACCTTGTATCCCAAAAGTAACTGAAAAATTCAACTATTAACTGATTCATCCAAATGTAAGATCCTGCTTCGGTGTATGAGATACAACTGCTGTTTCTGGAGTTTTTTCCTTTATGTTTCTCACAATATTCTTTAAAGGCATTTTCCATGAGAATGAGGACAACTAAAGCCTATGGGACACTTTGCCTTGTAGGTTTCACATTGGCATAGAAACCTTCAATAACTTTCCGGACCTTTCTTGAATTGACCTTCTGGAATTGTGCCCTTTTTTTTTAGCAGGCCTATTCCAAGCATGTATGAATTCATGTGTGCTCCTCAGCATATATGAATTATTTATTTGTTTATACGTCCAATTCAGCCCAATTTATATCCTAGAAGCAATCCACAAAACAAATGTATACATTTTTGCAACAAACGTAAATGATTGAGAAAAGAGATTATGGTAACTGATTGAGCAAACCATACGATGTTGCATCTGACCAAAGACTTCTGCATGCCATTGTGCAAGTTAAGCTTAACGTTAGAATATCATAGATCCCAGGCAAACCTAGTTTACTGCTAACAAGTAGCAGAAATGAACTTACATCCATTGAGCCATCCGTCAACATCTTCAGAAGGCTTTCGAATTTCTTGCTGAGAGGGACACTTTCCTCCTTCTGAAAAACTCTCATATTCACCTTTTCGTTGAAAGTCACGGTTTTATCAGATTGCTCCAAAGCAAGGCTAGAGCCGACCTTGCCCTGTCTCCCAAAGACAGGTTCGCTCTTATTTAGGTGTACTTTGCGATCGGCCGGCAAATGTCTTGGGGAAATACCAGAAGTTCTGGGACTTTTCAGAATCGGACGTGACATCATCTTTTCACATACTATAAAACTACACAGAGGTATAGAAGTTAGACTGGACGCTTCGAGCTATAAAGCACGTTGCAACGTCACTACCTGAACGCATCCATAGTGGATTCCATCAATTCAACAGGTTTGCCACATTATTCGAGATGCTGTTCTCTTAAAATTTCCTTCATTTTTCTGATGACTCAGCTGCAAAGCATATAACATAGTATTTTCGTGAGAAAAACAGACATATTACTTAACCTTATTCATCAAAAAGTGCTAGATCTCCCGACAATGGCCTTTGACATCTACCCTGACATTGTGACTAGATACATCTGCGCTGAAACACCCTTCTCACTGAATTTGGATATTTCGATGTTATGCACCCCCTTACTGATTTTGAATATTGGATCTTCTGCGACTGGACGTATTGCTGCTGATGTCCCGAGCGATAGAAATAAGGCCCGTATTCACATCGCTCCCCTAACTGTTAAGGGACCCCTAACTCAAGAAAGTTAGGGATCCCCTAGATGTTTCGTATTCACGTTCCTCCCCTAGCAAAGGGATCCTTAAACCCAACCCTAGTGGAAGAAGGTAGGGGAGCTTCCATTTTTCACTTTTAGGGTCGATTTTTGAACAGAGAACTATCCGATAATGCTGCTTTATTTACCGGATTTATAATGCATTTTCTCTGAAAGAAAGCAGCATTACCGGATAAATCCACCCTTAGAGTTCAATGTTGTAACTCCTGCAGCACCTCATCAAGAGGTTCTGGTATTTCGTTACTGATGATAGTGTCTATGGGTGTAAATTCACCCCAAGAATCCGTTTTACCTTTCTTTAAGGTGATCCAGTTGAAGGATTATGTCAAATGAAATCCGCTGCTGCTATGTAAAAGCCACCCCAAAAAGGATACCCCCTACTCTACATTTACTAAATCTCTGTTCTGACTCTATTACCACGAAATTTGCACTAAGCATAGGCTTCAAGAGATTTGAGAGAGATTGTATTCAAGAGATTTGCGGAATTTCATTAAAATTTATTGCAGCAAGGCAAAGCTACTAGCCATATTTAAAAGAAGTTGGAAACCATTGAAGTCGAAAGTAGGGCGTGCTGGTAGTTTAGTAGAGGAGATGTCTTCGTTCTGCTGTGTCCATGCCATCCAGGTCGGGTCAAAAATGTAATGCATTAAAATTAAATTTTTTAATGGCCTTTGGCTGTGTATAATTTTCATAATGTTATTCTAAAATAACAGATCAATGGTTAGTAAAACAGAGCTTGCAATAAGGCCCATACTTGTCACTCTCCCAGCAACAGTAGAACGGAACAGTTAGGGGACCCCTAGGTAAGGGTTCCCCTAAAAATGGTATTCACGTTGGTCTCTTAGGGGCCCTTAGCTAAGGAATCCTTTAGGGGTGATGGAGGAGAAAGCGCATGCGCTGAAATTCTTTTATCTTTGCTTCCTCCTAGTCAGATACACAGAAGTCAGAGGTCCTCTGCGTACGTATTGATTGCAGCAATTGTTTCAAGTCCGACACATTTTCAGGTTACTTTGATACCTTGCTATAGTACTTCCTATGAATGGGTGCCACGGTCAAGTGAATGGCATTTGTGATGCGATTTTCGCCAAATTTTCGATGGCAACACACACTTAGGTCCTTTGGGAAGGGTGCACATGAATATGTCGAGATGACATCGACGAATAATTTCGTCGATGTCATCTCGACAGACCTAGGAAATTTCTTGTTTTGTGACATGTTCTCATAAGCACAGATGAAGCTGTCACGATTTTCCCAAATTGTGGAAACAGATGAACAGATGTCTATGTTCGAGAGCGACGTTTGCTATACTTCGAGCCCTTTCTATTAAATTAATCAAGCACACTTTCCTTTCAATCGCGAAGGCTTGCCTGTTTCGTTTTCCATTGGCCATGTTGTCAACGAGAAATGCAAATGGCGACTGAAGATTAGGTGATCTTAGTTACTGGGGATTATCCCTCCCTAACATTGCTCCAGCCACAGCCAAATGACTCTCAAGGAATGCCGAATCCAGGAAATATAAAGTTATGGTTCGCCAACGGTAACGAAAATTTCAGCTAAGAATGACGGATTAGGGACATAAACATGGTCGATTTCGTTTGTGGGACCTTCAATGGACTTCGTTATAACCGAGGTAAAATGTAACGTGCCTTATGGGCTCTACGCCGGGACCCGGCGCTTCCGTCGTTATAACCAAGTTCGACTGTATATGAGAATCACCTGTTAGAAACTGAGAAGAAAACGATTTGTAAAGTAAACTCCAATGAGGAACTCTTGCCAAATGAATTCATTCAAGTAATCCTGAATCTACGAATAAGAAGTGTAAAAACAGCGCCTGTAAAACAACGCTGACTCAGCATTGCAAAATTATTGAAGTTTCAATATCTGACATATTGCATCAATGTTTCTCAACGTCGATGCAATATGACAGGAGCGCTTATGAAATTATGAAAAACTACAAGGGCATGATCTGTTAAACAGGTAAAATAAATCTTCGAAACCGTTTTCAGTAACAAAGGCAAAAACTCGAAAAGAAAACTGAAGAGGCATTTCTGCTCTCTGAAAGAGTGCGACGAACTCGCAGGAGTCTGCTAAGGGCGGCTGAAGGCTCTCTTAACATCTTTCCAATTTCTTATATCTCTTAGGGGTGCGTTTGGGGATTCCCTAGCTAAGGGAATGACGTGAATACGGTACCTCTAGTGGACCCTTATTTTCCAGCTTTTCCAGGCATCACTCTTAGGGAACCCTTAGCTAGGGGTCCCCTAACTCTTAAGGGATCCCTTAGCTAAGGGAGTGACGTGAATACGGCCCTAAAACCGTTCAATATTATCGCCAGTGGCGTAATCGAGATTGTCGAAATGAGGGGGCTCAGTATCTAGGTAGCGGGAGGGGGAGGGTTTGCCAAGAGCTACGGACAAAGGGTAGATTGAGCCCCCAGCAGCCCCCTCCCCTCCTCGTTGGGTACCACTGGTCATGATTGTCAAGAATTAATGGGTAAAGATACACTCCCAAGAGCAATATCAAGAAACCTATCATTTGGGAAATAACAACAATCAAGCCAGTTATTGTATAAACATATTAACCATCTTCTCTGGCCACATTCAGAATTTGAAGACGAAAAAACACTATTAACAGTAGTGACTTCAGATGCTGCAACCTATTTCTTTTAAATATATAATTGCAAAAATATATTGTCTCGGTGTTACCACATTCATGCAACTATGAAGTGACCATCAACAAATTGCAAGAATCTTATATGAAGTTCAAACACAGGACTCAACTTCAAACCTTGCAGATGAACCAATTCAGAGGAAACCTGCATACCTAAAACTTATTTGTCAAATACATCAGGATTTCCTGATACACAAATGAAGGATAGGGTGTAAATTTCAACTGGAGCTGAGCTGGGTTAGGAATGAGTCCTTATCTCCATCCTCATGGGATGAAGTTTATCTTTCTGATCTGTCCAATGCCTGCCGGTATCTATCTAATTTCTGATAAGTGACAAAAATGGCAGGCTGTGCATTCCTGGATAGGCAAGTAGGAGGCTCCACAGAACAGGAACATGGATTTGGGCTTCCTTTGGTATTTGAAAACATGGCTAAATATTGAGGCCCTGCATGAATTGAGGAGTTCTCTGGAAAAAATCTCTGGAAAAAAAGGAGTTCTCTCTCTTTTTCCAGAGAACTCTTCAATTGTGCTCATGTGCTCAAGTCCATGCTTATTGACTGGACTTTGAGGAGCTGGCAGTCAAGCCTGTTCAACAACCTGGGGTTTGGTTTCATCTTCAGCATCCTCTTTCCTAGAAAAGTTGCAGTGGAATAGCTCTTGACATGGAAGGCTAAGGGGAAAGTAGACTTTTGATAACTTTCAGTATTGAAATATGCTGCATGCAAATTGAATTGATTTCTTTCAGACTGCATGAAGATATCCAAAATAAGCTTCAAAACAAATCAAAACTCCAAGCAAATGCAAAAAAAGAACCACCATAACTTTAAGCAAAGAAATAGGAGAAAAGAGCTCTTCTTTTTCTCTTTCTCTTACAAAAGTAACCACCAGCAGATGCTTTCCCAAAAGGAATTCTCACCCTTTACTCCCATAATGACACTTCACAACACACTTGCATCAGCTGAAGAGCAAATCAACAGCATTTTCCATCATGGACACCATTTCTTCACTTTCAAGTTGTTAAGAAGTTTTCAGGTCTGAATTTGCATATTAGAAGGAGAATCATGACTTCTTCTTGTTGAGAGCCTTATTCACTTGCCCAGATTTCGCCATCTTCTCAGCCTCTCGAGCTGCTCCCATAAAAGAGAGGGAAAAGAACATCTCATGGAATTTGAAATGACCAAATCACATTAATGAATTCATAAATGTGTCTTACCTAGCCTCTCTTCTTCTCTTCGTTTAGCAGCCTCCTCTCTCTCCTTCTTGATGACAGCAAGGCGAGCAAGATCAGCCCGGGCTTCATCTGTCTTTCCCTGAGCATGTAACTTTTGATAATGCAGCTTTGCCTGCTGCTTCTCCAATTCTTCCCTGAATAATAAAACCATGTGAGACAGACACATATGAATCAACATTCATTCAGACAATCAAGGATATACTGAGGAATTTATATAGACCTAGATCACATTCTTCTACAAAACCATGTCACCTCAAAGTGGTATAGAGATGTAAATGGGTATTGTGGTACTTGCTTTCTGGTATAACAGCTAGACATGTAGGAGATATTTAAAGTGTGTTGGACTGCCTGGCCTGCCAACCATGAAGATTTCCAAAAGGTACCAAAAGAGTAATCCAGGTCTATGCTCCAATGTTGGCTCACACTTGCAAAAAAAAGAAGAAAAAAATTGTATACCTTGGACAACTTCTCCATTTAGTAAAGTCTCAATACATGCTACTCATGGGGGACTCCACTGCAACAGTGGAAAGGAAGAAGAATGATGAGATAAGGCTCTCAAGGGAATGAAGAGGAGCAAAGTACTCAGATCATAGCTTACTGCAACATAAAAAGGGAGACCAGAAAGAAATGAAGAACTGAAAGCCCATAAACCTTTTGTCTATTCTCTACAGCAGTGCTTCTCAACATTTGTTGCAGCACACTGGATGCAAAGCACTGCTCTACAGGGTGGGCCATAAATATTCACACCAAATCAAAGTCTTGGGTTTCCTATACTAAAATTCTCATAAATCAACTGAATCTCAAATGACACCAAGACTAACAGTAATTAATCACAAGATATCTTCAATGTGTCCCCCTTCTTCTTGGCAGCAACCATTAATTTTTGAGTCTTGCTATTTGATTAAACTGGATAGATTTCAGCAAAAGCCTTAATTGGTTCAGGTCACTTTTGTAAGGGGGTCATTCATGTTTGTTGATAATTTCTGCAACATGGTTCACTAGAAAAGTTTATGAGAATGAAGTGATGAGACTTCAAGGAGTCCTGTTGAAGCACCCAAGATTGGTCACAAGAAAGACACTGATACATAGGCATTACAACCTTTTTGCTTTACTTTTTTTGGGCATGAAGAAATATAAAATTACATGTGGTATGGATATGTATGGCCCACCCTGTACAAGCTCTTTATCAAGGTCATGAACAGCAGAATCAACAGAATACTCAATAAAAAATATATCAAGATATCAGGCATGTTATAGAAGTGGATTCTCAACTGTCAATCACCAAAATGTCATCAATAAACTGATGGAAAAACCAGAATACAGAATACTATTATTCCTTGCCTTTGTACACCATGTGAAAGCCTTTGATTTAGAATAAATCCCCACAGCCATAACCGTTTAAAACTCAAGGCATCCAAAGGCCATATATCTGTCTGCTCAAGGAAATCTAAAACTAGGGCACAAGCTACTGTCCACTTCCAGGAAAGTGAAAAGGCTAGTATTAAAAAGGATTTATAAAAGACAACTTCACCAGAGCTGATCACAGCCTGCCTCAAACTCCACAAACTGATATGAGAGAAGGATCTCAGCATCAATGGAGAAAATCAAACAAACTTCAGATATGTGATTACTTAATGCTTGTGTCAGAATCTTGAGGACTCCTGGAAGAAATGTTGGAAGAACTTAATTTGCAGAAGCAAAGAATGGAGCTGAAGATGAACATGCAAGAACTGAAGTGATTTTCAATTACAATCTGGTCCCAAAGGGAATCAGAACAAGAATCGAGCCACTGGAACACATATACCAGCATAACTACTTTGAACAACTGGTGAAACTGACCCCAGATCATTCATAAAGGGTGAGGAGGAGAGCTACTGCCTGGAGAGCATCTAGAAACTCAGCAACATCATGAAAAGAAAAATAGCCATCTGCCCAAAATAACAGGTCTTCAACTAGCACATCTCTACAATGACTCAAGACTACAATGATGCAAGACAAGGACTCGGACCAAAAAAAAAGCAAAGAAAACTGCACATAGAACATAGAGGAATGGAGCAAAGTATGCTGAATATCACCTGGAGAGACAGATATCTGTATATCTGAGAATATTCAGGACAGAAGGATATCACATGCAAGATAAAGCAGATGTGGAAGTGGACAGGCCACCTTGTCCAGAATAATGATGGAAGATGGACCAGAGAGATCACAGAATGGTGACTAAGAGTGGCAGCTAGGCCAACAAAAATGAGATGGTATGATGACATAACTAAACTACTTGGAGTGATGATGATGATTTTACCTCTCTCTCCTAGACAGTTGTGGCTTGGCTGAATCTCCACCTGTTCCTCCACTTGATCCTCCACTCGGTCCTCCACTCGGTCCTCCACTTGGTCCTCCACTCGGTCCTCCACCTGATGCTTTGACTGATCCTCCACCTGCTGCTTCCCCTGTTCCTCCCAGCTCTGAGAGTTTTTTCATTCTCATCTTGACAAGATTGGGGTTTTCAACTTCAATGAGCCCTTCAACACCCTTTGGCTTGTGTTGCTGCAAATTGAGGGTAAAACTCAGTTTCTTATGGAGGCAAGATACTATCCTAGATATGCAAGTTACAATTCTTCATTTACTAGTATAAAAGTAATTTATTTTTCCCTCTAGGTTATTGCATTAAATGCATGCCTGCAAATGTTGGTGAACTCACTGTTACCAACATAACATAACTATTGTAATAACACAAATTTACCCCTCAACTGGTTTCCTAGAAATCCCAAAAGCAGCTATGACTACCTCTCTGGGGGCCACTGAGCAAGGAAGAAACTCCAAAAATCTCCAAATAAGTAAGGTGGTGTAACATAAAATGATGTTTGATGGTTGGGTCAAATAATGGGCCATCACAATTATTGGCTTCCATTTTATTTATGCTTTTCTTGTAAGTGTCTTGACTTTCCTGAACATATGTGCTTTTTTTGTGCTAGTTTTGGATGTAATTCCCATGTTTACATTGAAATTATTCTGCAAATTGGTAAAATCACAGTTTGGAAGTAGTATAACTATCAAATAGAGAGACAAGTGACTTTATTTTCATACAATATTATCAGTACTTTCATGGAATTCTTCTGGCTACAGAACACCAGAGTTTCCTGGATATGACACTAATGTAATTAAAGTAAATACCTTTCCAACATGTAACATTTTGCAACATGCACACTCCAGTTTGCAAGTTACATGTTTCATCTGTATATGGCAACAGATTTTATACCATTTCATTTATGACTCAAGCTGTGGCTTGAGTCATAAATGACAGCTCTTGAGAATGTTCAGTGTGTTGTGAAATTTGCAAAAACCTGATTTGCCAGTTACTGCAACCCATGGGTTCTGATGTATCTTCAGGATGCAGGATGCAGGATCTTCAGTATCTCCAGACAAGACTAATATTTAGATTTGAACATTTCTGATGCAAAGGAACCTCACTAGGTTGAACAACCAATTGTGAAGTCACTGTGGAGTATCAATGGAATATCAAGGCTGCCTTCTGTGACAGATCGCAAACACTGAATTCACATTCTGAACCAAGCAAACTAAGATTATATAAAATTTGAAACTTGGGCTAATAAATTCTATCAGTTTCTTGCAGGTAAATACTCATTTATGAAAGTTGTAGCCAATATACATCTGGGAAATGCTGGTTGCCACTCCTAAGAGAATAGAAAAGTTCATGAGTTTCTCTTCCAGACCTTGGCATCTTCTCCTTCTGAGCTTTCACTTTTTGACCCTGATTCATCATCACTGCCACTCTCTTCATCTGAGCTTGTACCTTCTCCTTTCTTCTCCTGTAGAATCCAAGGCCAAAAGCAGCAAATATCAACATGGATTCACACAAATCAATGCATATTCAGATAAAATTCAGATTAAACTTGCTCTCCATTGTCGTTCTCTCTCTAGTTTTTTTTGCTGCTCTTCTAACTCCTCTGGAGAGGTGAAAGTGCGGAACTTCCGACCCCTTCCTGGAACACAAGGAGGCATTCTTAGTGTGTCTAAATGTTCTCCAATTTCCTCACCCTAAAATGGACTCAACTAATGAATTTTATGCATATCCATGACACATCATGGGGTGCTTAGTGAGATCAAATTCTCTGAGCCCTTCTTTCATGCTTACTCAAACTAAACATGAACATGACATGAACACCTCTGAATTAATAGCACTGGCATGATGCCCAGTGACAAAATCAAGAATATACCATTCCAAAACTGAAAATGTCACATTTAGTTCCATCCCACCAGTCCTTGAGAATTGAAATAGTCAGCCCTCAAAGGAAAGGTGCTTTGATTCATGGAGACATTTTTTAAAGACATCCTGTCCTGTCTTGTCTCTTCCAAATGGCAATAACCCTCAGAAATTCACTTATTCACAGTCTTGACTCATTTCCTATCACTTCCAAGCATAGTATGCTTAACATACCTTGCTTTTTCAGTGACTTCTGAACATAAAAAGATACCAACTCCAGAGTGACAAGCAGAAACTGAACCCAATAGTGATAAACCAGAATCACCTTAGACTATTACAATGGGCCAGCACTTTTCAACTGAAACAGACTATGAACCAGGCTCAAGCAAACTCAACTTCAACTTCCTTTTTTCATTTTAGAACCCATGAACTCAATGACCCAATTAAAGCAAATGCAAACCAAACTATACCTCACTTGTGGACTTAACCCAGCCATAATACATACTCACCTTTTGGCATTTTAGTAGGGTTTCTTCACAAACTGCTTCCAATGGCAATGTTGATTAGAAATAGGTGGTCGTCCAGTGCACACAAGCAATGCCAATACAATTACTTGAAAGATATACAACTCATTCAAGGCCCTGCTACACACAAGGTTACAGGAACCCATCAATGAATGCATCATAATGCAAAATCCAATTCTTCTATACAATCAATCTATACATTTAAAAGATCCATCTGGTCTTCTTTGCCAAGTAGGACTGTACCATCCATTCCTGCATAAAGCAGCAAGGCATTATAAATGGGCCAGCTTGTAGAGGTTTACAAAAAAATTACTTGGCAATGCCAAGGGCTTCTATATATATAATTTATTTCAAACAAGGATTGTGAATAGTATTGAAATATTCACCAGTATCAAACATTTTCAGCCTCTCATTTGAGGAGGGAACACATGGAATTAACAACAAAATCAACATCTCAGTAAATGACATTTTCTTTTCAAAAGGGCACATTCAATTTCAATACCCTTCATTAGACCAAGTCACTGTGTAGCCGGGATAATGCTTTTTGACCAGTTCACATGTCTTACCATGATCTGCTCTTCCAAAGCCCTGAGAATAACCAAAAACCTTTATGGTCTTTCCTTCGGGATCATGAATTATTCGGCCTCCTCCTACACACTCAGTATCTAATCCCTCCTTCCTGAGGTTTTCCTCCACATCATCATAAATATCACCATGATATTCAGCCCACTTGAAACCCCTCACAATAAACTTTGACACTTCAGTCCCTGATTCTTCAGAGTGCACCTTCAGCAGGATATACTTGAATCTCCCACTTTCATCAATATCCACGTCCTTCACAGCATCCAACTTGGGTGGTGTCATGGATGTGGATGATAAATTCAACAAATGTGGTATGAATGTGGATCCAGATACAGAAGTATCACAGTAATGCACCCCAATGAGATAGCACTACATAATATGGACCATTTTCTTCAACAGCTGCTGAGCAAGAAAATGTTCATCATTTATAAAGAAGAAATCACTCTTTCATAGAAATTGTTATATTTGTATGGGTTAACACTTTCAGAAACTATAAATCTATTCAACCTTTACAGTATGCAAAACACATCAGTATTAAAATTTTATGAGGGCAGCAAACTCCAATTGTTCTCTAGGCTGCCAGGCATTTTTTAGGATGGGATAACAAACTACAAAGCTAGGACATGTGTAAATAAATCAAATAAAATAATGCATACTTAGTATGTTCTGGCGGTAGTGCAACGACCAAGACTAATTTAATAGAGGGCAGACTTGATGCACCAAAGTGGGTTCATGTCTACATTCACAAGAGGATAACAGGTATACCTTTCCAAGTGAGATTGATACAGCATCAAAGCATTCCTCTTTGCAAGAAACAGCACAGCTCCCAATCTTGAAAAACATAGTAATCCTACAAGTTAAATTCAAACCTAGAGACAAATCCACAGGAAGACAATTCTAATCACTAGGTAATGACCACCAAGGAATCATTCAAGAGGTTTCTCACCATACTTCAGCCACTTGACAAGAGGGAGTTAAGAATTCTTGGACAATTAATCAATCCTAGAACAAGTGTTAGCAACTGAATAAATCTGAATCTAAGTAAAGTTTGCTAGAAAAATTCCTTTCCATGCTGCTATTCATAAACAACATCGCTATAGTTCACCCAGAAAACACACACTGAATTTTGACATCATTCATCTGACCATGTTACAGACAAGTCAGGATAATGCTTTTTAACCAGTTCACATGTCTTGGCATGATCTGCCTTCCCAAAGCCCAGAGAGGAGCCATGGATCTTGATTGCCTTTCCTGAGGGATCATGAGTGATTTTACCACCTCCAACACACTCAGCATTCAGTCCATCCTGACTGAGCTTTGGTTGAACATCATCAAAAATATTATCGTGGAATTCAGCCCACTTGAATCCCCTCACGATCAACTTGGACTTCTCCACTCCATCTTCTTTTGACTTCACATTTATCAGTACGTATTTGAATTTTCCATCTTCATCAATATCTACCTCCTTCAGTGCATCCAATTTAGAAGTCATCATGGAGGTATACGACTGCACCAACTTCAAGGATGACAGGAGAGGGATCTGGAGAGAAGAAGCTCTAAAAACTGAGCCTGAAGGAAACAGCTCTTTTGCAAAACCACTTTGGCTCAAGAAAGGGCAGCAAGTTTTTGAATTAAACTTCAAGAGAGATCTGAATGTTAAAGCATTTGTGTGTTTTGCACCCAACCAAACACATCCACCTCTCATGGTAGCCTGGATGCACAATCATAGAATTAATTGAAATCATAGAACCTCTTTCTGAACCCATTGGCCATTATCTACCAAAAGCCAAGAATTAATTTAGTCACAAATACCCTGGACATGGAGGCATAAGATTTTAATAATTTCCTCATAGTTGTACTTCATTTTGAAAGAGGACAGATTGATGAGTTTATAATATAGTGTCTATTAACTGAGTTGGTTCAATTCTGACTTCAGGATCAAGATGTGGCTAAGAGTAAGTTTCATGGTTGTCCTCTTCCAGCTCTATCTAACAAGGTACTTTCTTCTACTAAGCCATGTCTTTCAGGTTCTTAAGCCCTCTGTCAACAATTGATGTCTGGTCTTCTGAACCCTTCCTTTACATCCAAAGCAATCATTCATTAGCCCTGACTGCTCTGGAGTCTGGAATCATGGAGCTCCTTGTTTCATATTAAGTGGTTCCATATTTTGTATTTTCTCGCATTTCATTTTCACCCAACTTCATGAATCCATGAATTCCAGTTTTGGTATCAAACTAACCCAAAATCTAAAAAAAAGTGAACATGGTATGGAGATATAAGCTTAGTTCCAGTTAGTCACAATAGGCATTGAGGTATAAGTTCTAAGTCAGAAGTAGTTCTTACAGAGGAAGGGCTACATGATGCTTTTTTTTTGGATTGAATTCATATCATTCTGGGTATTGGAAATCAGAGAAAGCACTACTTTCAGAAGATTCACTGCATCAGGTGATTCACAATCACTGCAATAGATGAAAACAATCCTAATGTGAGATACTAATTCAATCCAAAACCAGTGTATGGAATTTCCATATTTGAAATGAGGTATGTCACATGGCTAGGCCTGACTTAGCCTAGTTCATGCTCCTATAGCTTTCCCTTGGTGCCACTGCTGTCCAATATATGGGTCTAACTTTGGTCCAGGTTGCACTAGAGATCTAATGTAATGATAAGCACAGATAGGAGTGACATTGAAAGAAGCAATGGAATCTTCCTGGGTTCATTTCCCAACTGTTACCTGATATTCTTTTGCACTCTCATGCTTTCCTAGTCTTCCTTCTAGAAGTGTAATGGCCACTGGCATTATACTAGGCCTACACTGTTTTGGATTGAATTCTTATCCCCATACACTGACACCAATACAGAGGTGGGGGCAGGAGTATACTTTGGCTCATGAACCAGAGATACTAAGTAAAAGAAAGGGGAATGGATGCCAAGGTCAGCAAAGGAGGTGAGGAAGGGAGGGGAGCCTCTGAATTAAAGTTATTAATCCTTCAAGTGCTGAGTTTTGACCTGATCCCCTATGTGATGATTGTATGGTGCATGTGAAAACTGCCCGAAGGAGTAAGTAAAAAAAAAAAAAATACTTCATTGAGTGCTTGGTACATTCAATGGCTGCCAGGGGGAACCACACTCCCACCAAAAAAATACACTACTAGGTGAAGGACAAGAAGTTCATCCTGAAATTGGTGAATGTCTCATAACTTTTATCAGTTCCAGTGCAGTTTTAAAGAAAATTGATTGAAAATAAAATAAAGTAGCATTGTAGTGTAGTCTAACTGCTTCCATCACTGTGCTAAATTCATTTCATAATTCTAAACCACCAAAATATACATACCTACTTCTTTACATTTATCTTCAATTACCATTTTTGCAAAACAAATGAATATACAAATTACCTTTTCAATATCATCATATTCCATGCCCTTGCACTTTCCACTTCAATGAAGTTGAATATAACAGAAGAAAATTTTTTCATCCTAGCTCAACTTGCTCCATCAATCCACTCTCCGAACCCCCAGTATAAAATTCCTCATGATAGATGCCCATAGAGCAGAAATCTGTCAGCTCTGAGTGGCTTTAGAGCCAATCCTGATTGTAAAAGAATGCACTGGATAAAAATGCATTATATAAGCACCTTGCAATGTATTTCACTTCTTACTTACCTTGGATTTTGAATTACTTTCAGCTATTGGATATATCCAATGGATATATTGGATGTATCCAATCCAGTCCATGACCTTCTTATATTCAAGGCAAACTCTCCCCAGCCTATATATTTTAAGGTCTAAAAGGAGTGGGGGATCTTTTTCACACACCACTTAACCATAGATCTTCCTAATGGGTCAAAACTTGGTTGAAATGAATGTGGAAAGTGGTACAGGCTGGATCAAATCTACAAAAGTTTGGCGTTAACGCTTTAGTCTTTGGATAAACAGTATTTGGTTTTGACAGAAAAATCAATTTGTCTAAAATGTTTGAGGTACATGCGGTCTTCATATACGCTTACTACCTTGAACGAGTTCCTGAATCAGATACTGAGAAATAAATTATTACTCTTGCGAGAAATTATTCACAGAAGAAGATGTTTGACCATTTCCAGTCCATGAAAGCCTCACAGCAACCGCGTGCAGGTCGCCATGTGCCCTGGTCATTCCTAAGCCTTTCCTATAGATGGCTCTGCGGGAGGTGCCTCATCGCGCCTCTTTCGTTATCTCGTTCGTACAGGCTCATTTCGACTAGGCTCGGGCATGGCATGCCTGGCTCATACCATGCCTGAACCTGGTCAGCGGAGCTACCTTTCATCTGCCTTGAGCGCCGACAGTGGATGCCAAACAAACTGAAAAGACCAATGAATTTGTAATTTTGCATATATGTAAATATCAATTTTGATACATTGTTCCATTCCATAGGAGACTAAAATTTATTGAGCTTTGATTCTATAGGATTGGATTGGATATGTGAAACAAATTAAAAGGAAAGATGATTTTGATGCAACACACGATCGGTTGGTCTCCCATTTACTGTACACGAGGGGAAATTATTAGTTTCGCTTGTCAGCGAGAAAAACTTCGAGGATCACTCACGCTTGTTTTCAGGAGGGTGGTGGCTTCTCAGTGAGAAATTGCGGTGAAGACAGGGATAAACTGGATTGGATTTATCTCCAGCAAATACGTTAATCAAACCTCGAGGTGCTCAGTGGCGGATACAGGGGGGGGGGGGGCGACCGCCCCCCCATGGCCAGGTTAGCATTTGATTTATTTATTCAAAATAGTATCTGCATAAAATTTTATCGGAGCCATTGAAATAGACACTCAAGTTCTTACCCCAGACGAAAAATTAAAAAGGCGAAAGGACGAGGAATGGTGGTAGGCGGGGGGGGGGGGGGGGGGGGGGGAGAAGAAAAATTAAAAAGGGGAAGGGAGGGGGAGTGGGGGGGGGGGGGGGGGGGGGTAGTAACTAGGGAACCGCCCCCCCTATGAAAATTTTCTGTATCCGCCCCTGGAGGTGCTACGGTAGCAATATGAATAGATAAGCTAAAGGAACGGTTTCCGTAAGAGGTGTTGGTTGTGTCCGATATCTCATTACCAGTCTGTCATATCTGATGTAAAGGCTCCATTGAGAGGGTTAGAGCCTCTGAACCCCCCCCACCGCCTCCTCCCCAATTTCCTTTGTTGCAACGTTGCGCTAGGTATCTGATTCCTCGTGAGTCAACCCACTATGGGGTACTAACGCATTCGTAATCATGCGGAACTTCTGGCGAATCCAGCCTAATCACGAATCGAGCCCAATTTCAACGCTTTGACTCCTGGACGATTCCTTCATTCGCGTGATGATCGATCAAACATCCTCCAAGCCTCCTCGGCGCCCTAATCGTTGCCGAGGAAGCCACACGTCTTCTCCCGTAAGTCTTCGAGGGTTTAGGGTCTCGTGGAAGGGAACACCGACACGAACAGTGAGCAGTGACACCTCGAAACATGGAAGAGATTGGATCGAGTGAATCCCGGATCATGCTGGTGGAAAGGCTGAAGCATTTGCAAGCAGGCCAAGAAAGGCTTGTAAAGCGACAGAAACACTTCAGCCGCCTCCTTGCTCGATTCTTTCATCAGTCTCGTTCCGTCAGTGTCTCGTTTCCAAAAAGTGCAAAAAAAAAGTGCATTTAGCTCTCAGCATTATTCTGATATCTAGATGGTGGGGATGTCGGAGGGCGAGGAAGAAAAGGAGAACAAGGAAGCGGAACAGGAATACGAAAACCTTCTGAAAATGTTCTGCGAGGCCGAAGGGAATCTGACCGACCTCAAGAGAGCCTTCCAAGACGAGAATTCCAGACTTCAGGTCGACTACTCTCCCATCAGTTCATTCACGGGCGCGGTGAAGTTCACTCGAAATCTTCTCGTCTCAGGGGGAGCTGACAGAGCTGGAAAGCAACGTGAAGAAGGAGCTGGATGCCTTTCGGAAAGCTGGAAAATGGGTGTGGAAAAAGTGCCGGCATAGCATTGCGAAGACCAAGGCACCCCCAGAGGTAGGCCGTCATGGGCAACTTGCTTCCTAAAAGTAAATAATTACAGTCAAAAGTATTTGACGAAAACAGGAGTTACCGTAAAAATTTACTGCGTGTTGACGGAGCGTAACTGAGTACAGATACAAACGAAATTACTTTCGGGCTTTTCGAACCTGGCAATGAAACAACTCAATCTGAATGCATTCCAAAAAATGCAGTAATTATTGCAAGCAATCAGTGCATTGGAGCAAGAGCTGCATCTCAGTTTCCATCAGATATCACCAACCTCTTCGGCTTAAAATATTGCTCCTCCTATACACAGAACAGTCTTTGAAATGCGACTCTAGCGAGCAGAGGAACGCTGAAGAAAATGAAATTGTTTATTCGGAATTGAAGTTCCAGTAATGATACAGTCTCATCCCTTCATGATTATTCATAGAAAAATCTAACGTTATAAAGTTCCTTGGAGTTTCAAACAGAAAAAACTTGTTCTGCGTATTTCTCGCCATTTCAAAGTTTTGAATTTTGCAAAACCCTGCTTTCGTCGACCTTTGCTGCTGCAGTATTGACACTTAACAAGAGTAAAACAATGAACGAAGGAAGGCAGGAAAAGTATTGATTTATTTGCCATGGCATGGTAACCAAGCTGGACAGAACAGGCATTGAGGAAAAGAACTCGCTGCGTCATTTTGCCAAATTTTGCTGATGGTGGTTCGACGTTCAGGGTCTTCTGGGTCTCTTCTGACTAAAGATGCTTAGAGATAATAATGAATCGAGCTAAGTCGAAAAAAAAGTGTGATAAATTACATTTTCCTTAGATTTTAAAGAATCGAAAGGGATGAGGGATGATAGGGGAGAGAGAATCGATCCTTCACCTTACATGATCTTTACAAAGAGCTGATTTCAACTTTACAGCACGAAATTCCCTAGCAATATTACCCTCATGCTCGGCTAATACAATGTTTATTTCAGGTATTGGAAGAGTTCTTCAAAGACTACGAAGCAAGCATCAATCGGTTGAAGGGGCTCCGTGCGAAAAACCAAGCCCTGCAAAAGGAATTGGGAGCTCTGACAATGACCCTAGATGAAGTGTGCAAGATCACCGGAGGCCACCGAGTGGCGGAATACGAAGAAGGCCACGTCAGAGTCCAAGAATTGACGGAGAAGATCGAGAGAAAACAAGAGGAATTGCAGAGACTGGAAACTCAGATCGTACAAACTCTGTCGACGCGAGATCACTTGAGAGAGAAGCTGCTCTTCCTCCGGAACCAGAACCGGGACCTGAAGGAGGAGGTGAAGAACCTGGAAGCTCAGGTGTCTCAGGTAGCCGCTCCTTCCTTCCCTTTCCCGATATTCTCAGAAAGAAGGAGGAATCGAGGAACATCCTTGCTTGCAGGCGAAGCAGAGGAAGCGAGAGAGGCAGAAGCTCTGGATTCAGGCGAGAGACAGGACCCAGAGCGTCGAGAAGACCCAACCCGTGAGAGTGGACGCTGCTTCCATGCCGGCGCTCGTCAGAGACTTCTACAGAAAGAAGACAGACGTGGATTCCTTGAAGATTTCCCTCGAACATCTCCAACGAGAAGTGAGCACGGTTCTACGACCAGATGATGTAACGACGCCCCCATTCCAGATCTCGTCTCACTTCGATGCCTATAGCAGACTTTCAAGCCCTCGTTCGCAGTAAAAGCCGTATCCAGGTCTTAATTATTATTATTTTTAAAATTTCAACTATTTCAACTAATTTCAACTAAATACTCACACAGTTACCATAACGCCAGTTGTGATGGTAGAGAGATTAGCATGTGTCGTTCATAGAACGGACGAAAAGAATGATTCACGACGCTGCATTTCAACAGGCCTTGTCTTTTCCCTATTCATGAAGCCATCACATGCAATGTACTATCTGAAATGACCAACTGCATCATGTTACCTTCCCACAACCAGAAAACAGGCGTCGTAACGCTTCCGGCAAGTGAAAACGGGATTTCCTGGATTAAAAAAATTCCTGTCATTTTTTCAATAAAATGTGTTCTCTGAATAATAGCTGATTAAATTCAATAATACAATTTTTAATTGAATGCAATCTAAAACTGATTTTTAAAAAATGCTCCATGTGATAATGAAAAACATTTGCTTTTCAAGCTCGACCTCCACCATCTTAGACTCTTCACGGCCTCATTTCTTCTCGAGTGACAAAGTTCTCACTTTTGACCACATTTCTGGTTCCGTTACCTTCCCAGGTTCTCCATGCCTGTGGGAATCCTGTCACCATATACATGGTATTCCTCATGAAAGTATAATTTCATTTGCCCAACAGACAAGACGAGCATAACTCCTGTGGAAAGGAATCAAGAATGACCAAGAACTGAGTACGAGGCAGTGTCTTTCATCCCATCTTACCAAGATGGCCGACCACGCGCAGCCAGTAGTCACAGCAGTTGCCGAGAGAAAAAGGCGGGCTGGCACAATTGCGGTTATGCATCTCTTTATCTTCGAGTGTCACACAGCGCATATCTTATCTGGAGCGTAAAGTGGGCCGGACGGAAGGTGAAAACGAAGTTTATATCTTTTTCTTTTTTCAAGCACGAATTTAAAAGATTGTAAAAGCCCCAAAGCGTAATGAGATCTTCCCGCCCTCAGCCTTCTAAGAAAATGAGGAGCTGGCATCCCGTCAGAGACAGAGTGGAGACTGGGAGAGAAACCACACTTGGCCATACGAGGGCTAAAAGCCATGTCCGATGCCATGTTCCGTAGCATGAGTTCATTCTAAGAAGAGTAAACTCAACGGTGTCTTTCACTTGAGTGAGACTTTTTTCTCATTTGACTTCGCATTAGAAAAGTTCCATGCGCGATTGTCCAAGTCAAGGGAAAAATTGTCTCACTCGAGTGAAAAACACAATGATTTAAAAAAAAATAATCCAGCACTTATTTTTATACATAGTTTCTGATAATTTTCCCCCGAAACATCCAAAAGGAGGAAATTTATGTACCGTTTTCGTTTAAACGTTCGAACGTACGGGCATTCGAAACAAAGAAAGAACCGCACGTATGCGTCGAATTTACGGCCCATTTCGACCAACACATTCGGTTCCTTCTTAATGCACCGTGAGATACTTCCCGATAATTTTTTCCGCATTAACCTGGAGGACGAAGCATCTCACGTAAGGTTAGTCCACCGGAGATGGAAGTTTCTCATCTGAGACTAAAGATGACAGGAGGCACAGACCAAGGAGCACGGGCTATTTCTCACAGTCTCTCAGGCTCTCGCGCGATCCGCGTTTTCCTCGGTGGCAGCCTCCGAGGGTCTGCAGTCTCCTCCATTCCTCCACGAAATGCGGCAGTTGCAGCGTAGTTGCTTCCGAAGGGGCATCTCGACCGAATCCTGCGACCAGCCTTTTGGGTACAATCCTTTGATGACAATTGAGTCATGATTGACTACGACATGAAGTGATCTCGACTGAGGAGGAAGACCGAAGACTGAAGACATTACCTTCAACCAGTAATTTGGAAGGATTCCCTAAGTAGTTATCAGTAGTGAAACGAAACAGCTCACCATTCTGGTCCCCGAAGTTAGTATGGGTGGAGGCTTTGCATAATCAAATAACGGAGTTCAAAATACACTCCAGCCGATGAATAAAAAAAAACTTAAAAATATAAATATATATAAACTTTACATGTGCACCCTGAATTTGTAGATCTTGTATTATCATGAGTTATTTTTTGTTTCTCTGAGGGTGTTTCTTCATAACAAAAAATCCCTTAAATGACTATAATTCAAACACTCCAGGCCTGTTTCATTTCTTGCTCATCCAATCGATAGTATTTCCGTCAAATGAGAAAAAAATTCTGTCACGCGAAACTCCCGAATCCACTTAGTCCTTGCTTATCCAATTACAAAGAAAATTTGATAATCTCGACATATGTCAATATATTACTGACGGAAGCTGTGGTTCGAGGGGCATTCATATCCCTGAAAAGAGCAAGTAATGATAATTTGAGCAAACGCTTGGACAGGTTTAAGAAACACGAGACGGAACTGGCTTAGACCAGGTTAGGGTCATTGGCGATTTCCTCATCCGCCTCTCTCCTCTCATCATCTGCAGCGCATGCGCATGAGCGGCGCTCCTCCTACCTTTGTCGAATAAAGGAGTAGAAGAAAATTCTCTATTAAGAAACTCACTTCTTTCTCCTGAATGAACTTCACTTTGATGAGGATGAACGCGACTGCAATTTAAAAAATTATTATTTCCCATTTGCAGACAGTCAATCCTAGAATCGGCTAAGCGTGGGTCAAAGATTTTTTTTTTTCATGTCTAAGGTGGTAAGGTCGTTCACTGACCACCACAACGAACCGCCACCAGCATCGCTACAGTTGTAAAACAGGCAATTTCCTTAACGGACCGGTCCATGACTGAGCATGCTAGATCACGTGGAAACGATCTGGCAGGACTGGATGGGGGTAAAATTACCATGATTTATTGACGACATGAAAAGAGTTCAAGGGGACAAGGAGTCGGACAGGGAAGCACTGTCAACGAGGAAGGCTGGGGGGTCCTGTCGGACCGGGTCTGAAACAAGCAGAAACCAGCCGACAATAGAAGTTAAGAGGCGGGGGTCTTCCGTCTCCTACACCCACTCGCTAATGCCGAGGGGAAATAGAGCGGAGTTTTCGTCAGGTCTGAGGGTATCCCAAACAATGAAGTATTCCACGTGGAGAACGGTCTATTATGAATGTTAGGAGGTTTGCCGAGAAACGGTGCTTCAGTTTTAAAGCGACAGATATCAGTATTTGTAAAGCACTGGAGAGGGGGGGAATACCAGTGGGGGAAGAGCCACTGGACGCGTGGATAGGGGGCTCTGCTCCCACTCCTATGGCTGCCTATGGTGGAATGCGGATTTCTGTCTCTCCCGCTCATTTCGTTATTTTTATTTATAGGTCCTCGCCTATTCGTATACTTTGTCGGCCTAGACTAAACTAACCAGGAAGGATGAGTTGTTATGCGATGCCTCTGGGTATGCACACAAAACGTACTGTATCCCTCATTGCAACGTTGTCACTAGCTGCTGCTGCTGAGATGGGAAGGGGATTGACAAACTGTTCTCATTTAGCCCAATAGAATACGTTGTAAAGTTATTCGCTTTTTTTTTTAATAATAACAGTTAATATGTGAACGTCTTTGGCTTGGATTTAAAGCACAAGGGGCAGAGTTTTAGGGTTATTAACAGTGTTGGACAAATTCTCTGAGCATGAGTAACCAAATGTATCGGGGGTTCTATCTGAAGAGACCTTGTGTGCTATTCATTTGTTGCATGCAGCATTGATATGACCTTGTAAAGAATATTGTGATCAGTTTTAGAGGCTTGCACACTGAAAGGTTGTAAGCCACAACAGTACAAATTGTGAAAGCCTTGTAAGAAAATGGACAAATTTCAGATACCTTTTCTTTAAGGCACTAAATGTGCATCAAAAAGTAAAAATTAGTCATTTTAATGCAGTTCTTGGTTTTTGCCAAATTGGAAGCTGTATGCAGGAAAGAAACCAATACAAACATAAATAATAAAGATGAAAGACAATTTCATTTCATAAGTTGGCTGCCAAACAGAATTTTTAACATGCACAATGTGTCACCAGTGATGCACTTTGCAGTCAAATGTGCTAAGAGACATTAAGGAATAAAATTTAAATATTAAGGAATTACAATTAAGGTCATAGTTCTTAACTTTGACAGAAACCCCATGTTTTCAAGTTGTTCCCAGTTGGGGACAAACCTACATTCCTTTAGTCATCATGTTATTTTGAGAAATTTAGAAAATTATGAATGTTTTTTCTATTCACTCTACATTGGAGTGACTATCTTTCCAAAGGTGTTGCTTGCAGTGCTTCTTGTTTTAGATTTTCCTTCTCTAAGAATAAATTTATAACACTTAATACAGGCACATGTTACAAAATTAGAAGGGATTACCTTTCCTGTTTCTTTGCAGTTTTGCCCCAATAATTTTTTAAAGATTCCAATCAGGTGCATAATTATACTGAAAGTGTGCTAAAAATAAGGACTTATGATCCATATAATCACATTAATTGTGATTATAAATGTGATGATTAATTGTGAAAACCTACAGTTTTCAGTGAACCAGGGTTCAGCTTAAAACTAAGACTGCTGCAATCCATCAGTCACCTTTGGTAGTTAGAGGCATCTATGATTTCATTAGTCATCACTAAGGTCCTGACCCTCCCTCTCACTCTGCAATCCCTCTCAGGTTGAATGAAGAAAAAACTGGAACCATGTCTGGCATTATAGAATCATTAGGTTGGAGAATCTTAATGTTGGAGCATAGTATTTCAAACACAGGGTACTCAAGTCAAACTTAACCTTGAGAGCTGATGTCCCATATTATGAGTGAATGAAATGAAACCAGAAGAAATGTTGGATTTGGTTCCATGACTCAACATTTTTCTTGCCCTATAACTACTCTATTTCAGTTTATAACACTGGCTTACTTCCAGCAATGCCCCAGTTATGTTTTTTTTTTGCAAGTATGTGATGGTTACTTGTTCTAAAATTATTCAATTTGATGTTTTCAATATAATATTTTTTAAAATTTCATATAAAGTAAAATGGCATTATCTTATATCAACCTTTGGTGTTTCACTATAGTTTTTTTTTTATTGAAGAACCCATATGCCTTTGAAAAGAAAATACTTGCAGAAGATCACATAGATCATTAGGGGTTGCCATAGTGGTGCCTGGTTCTGGTTCAATCACTCCATTTGATCCATCTCTATTCCTAAGATCCATGCAGGTCTGAGTAACATGCTATTTCATTCTTCTTAAGCTTGATGTATCAGGCTCAATTCAGGTCATGAAACATCTTTATTGGATCATTGGCTGATGGCCTGACCATTATGTATTTGCTTCCAAATAAGACTTATATATTGTGATGTGATATTTCTGATCAGCATTTGATCCTGTTTCATTTTCTCCCACATTAAAGTCCCCCTTGTCTGGCACAGGTGATGGGAAGGGGGAAAAGGTTGAAGAATGGCACGAGTGAGCAAATACAAACTCATCTATGCTGTTGCTCAAGACCTTTTTGTGTGAAACGGAGTCTTCAGTTTGATTCAGTTCCAGAAAACAGTCTTGCATCTGAAGGAAGAACACTTTCAAACCTTCCCTATGTGAATCAAGATCTGAATGGTTTCTTGTCTGATGCTCCAAGTTGTTTAGATAGGAGGTCCATAAGAAGCAACCCTGAATCAAAGAAGCCAAAGGTGAAGCATAGAAAACCAAGCAATGGTTTCGATTCTTTTGCCCATTCAAAGTATGCACAAAGAAATTCCAAAAATACCTCATTGGTTACAAATTTTCAAAGAAAGCTCAGGTTGTCCCCAGGAAGTGTGCAGAGAATGACACAATGGGCACGTCCAAGGCCAAGTCATACCACAAGTGATTATGGAACTTCCTCAGAAGCCTCCAAATCCAAAGATTCTCTTAATGTTAATGATCTCTCTCCATTTTCATCTTTGGGTTTTTGTAACTGTAGTGTGAGTGGAATAGCAGCATTGAAATGTAATGAAAAGCTTGAGTTAAGTGTTACCAGTGATGTTGACATGACCTGTGATCTTTCCCAATTTGGTTGGGAATCTGATTCTGAAAGCTACTCATTATCAGCATTGGAAGATAGTGCAGATGTCTTCCTAGAAAGCCAAAGGCAAGTCCCATCCCGTGTTCTCCGGAACAATGACATTATTGTGATCATTCCTGAGCCAAATGATTCTGGCTTTGAGTACTGTGATTTTGGAGTAAAGACATTGGATGACCCTCACTATCGTCCTAAAGAGACCTTATGGTCTCATGTTGTTAGTGACATTGTATCAGTGGAACCCCATGGGTTTCGGTTCTCTGACTCACATCCAGCATCAATCTTCATTCCTTTAAAAATGGAAGTAGGCGAGCATCAAGCAATTCAGTGTCTTCTCAGTAATACATGTGAAGAGGAGAAGCCTTGTTGGGAGAAAGTTCCTGCTGGGAGTTATGCTTACAGTGCTGGCCGGGTGATCATCACAGTAAATCATTTCAGTCTCTTCACTGTCATCATACAAGAGCCCTACCCAGAAACCAGAAGAAGAATCAGCGGAAGGCTGGGAGGTTCCATTAATGTTAGTGCTGTTCCAGGAGTGAAAGTAATTTTTCCCAAAGGATCACTGAATGAAGACATTGATGCATTCGTTCGAGTGCTATATGATGATGAATTCAGCAATCAGGAATGTGATGAATGGGCATTGGCTTCTCCAGTCATCATGCTAGGACCTCATGGGTATGATTTCAATGAAGATTCTGATCCAGTTGTGGTCCAGCTACCAATTCCACATTACATGGAGATCAAGAGCAAATTTCCACTTTCAAGAGAATTGCAGATATATCAAAGCTCAACAACTGAAGATGAACCTTTGCATTGGGAAAAAATCAGTGTGCAATCCACTGTTACTGAAAGTATTGATGGAATCTATGTTGTATGCTTCCCAGTCCATCACTTCAGCTTCTTCAAAGTTGTCTGGGATCTGTTGTCAGCATCTTTGTATGAGGCAAAGTTGGGCATGGCTTATTTTTATCCCTACATCTCATTCTCTATGATGTGCCAGGCATGGATGGAAGAAAACACTCAGACTAATAGATTTGGATTGGAGGTGGTCTGCTGCAGAAGTGACCGCCAACTTCCTGAAATGACCAATTACAAATACAAAGTTGGAGCCAGCCTGAAGCCAAAACTGGTTAGACCAGGCCATATTCTTATCCGTCTCAGGTCTCAGATGTTTGAAGCAGATGAAGATGCTGGTGAAGATCCTGAAATGGTGAAGGAAGAGCCTGACTTCAGGGGAAGAGATTTTGAGAAACAGTATGCTTGCAGGTCTGTGCATCCTGTCATCTTTTCTTTTCATAATGCAAATGTGACTAATGATGTTCTGTTTTATTGTACTTAAATAGGTTCAAGCCAAATGTGAAGGTGGAAAGAGGTACTTTTGGGAAGGTAGTTGTTGAGAGAAACCAGAGTGGAACCAAAACTGAGCTGCTATTTGAATTTAACCTGCATAAGGTAGCAATAATATTGCTTTCTGAAATAAAATATATGAGAGACTGAACTATTGGTTGCTGAACTCTGAAGAAAAAACATTCTTACCTCTGTATTTTGAATAGAGTGGTGATGAAGGAGAACCAAATCCTCCAGAAAACACACATCACTGGTCAGCAGTTGCAATGAAAGAACTGGCTGTAAATCTGTGTATCATGGATGATAACAATTGGAAAAAATTTGCCAAATACATTGGTTTTACCAAGAATGAAATTGCCACCAAGCTTCAGGTATCATCATAGAAGCTCAATTCCAAACCAGAACTAAAAGAGGAAAACATAATCTGACACTCTTGTCTTTCATCACTGTTGCAGTATGCAGCAGACCCATTGCTAGCCACAATGAATCTCTACCAAGCAAGAGGTGGGACACCAGAAGAGTTTTGCCAGGCTCTTCGTACAGTGAGTCGGCAGTTGCAACTTGGCTTGGGGAAGTCCTCGGGCAGCAGCAGCCAGGAATCCAGCTCAAGTCAAGGATCACATCTAAGCAATGGCTGGTTTGGCTTCAGGAGCCCTCTGAAATGGAGAAATCGGGACACTCAATCTGATTCTGGGACTGGTGGGTTGTCACATGTCTCACATCAATCCTTATGTAGTATCAGTTGATACACTGTAATGATTCAATTCCCATCCAGGTACTGTGTCTCAGAAATCAGCTGCCAGCAGGAAGAGGTCAAATCATAGCAAAGGAAGTGGGAGCTCAGCTGCCAAGAGGAGGAAGCAAGATTCTGACAGTGATGAGGCTCTTCCACAGTCCTCTTCCTCATCTGACACTGAAGATGAGGGTTCTGTCAGCACTGAGCATTACAGGTATGATCCAGGACATGGCTGGGTAGACCAAACCAATTCAAAATGTTGAGACAAGAAGTCTGCATATGAAGAAATTAGAGAAGGAAAGTAATAAGTTTTTTCTATCTTGGACAAAGCAGCTATTTTTGTGTTTACAGGAGAAATCCCATCAAGCTGTCTGATGCTGACCTTTGGGATATCTCAGCCCACATGAATAGCATCAATTGGCGAGCTCTTGGGCGCACCCTAGGGCTGGAAGAAAGTGTTCTTCTCAACATAGAGCATGCCCACAAGGCAGCTGGCTTCAGGGAGTGCTCATACCAAATGTTGTTAGAATGGAAGGGCAGAAAACCTAAGAAATGTACTTTTGGGAATTTGTACACTGCCTTGACCAAGGAGAACATGAACTCAGTGGCTAAGCAGATGACAACTATGAATATGACAGAGTCTCCTGTCTGATGAAGAAGGATCAGTAAGGATGAAATGGATTATATTCAAGGTATAATCAATCATTTCTTCTTGAGTGACAAAGCTCTCACTTTTGACCATATTTCTGGTTCTGTTACCTTCCAGGTTTTCCATGTCTGAGTGTCTTTCATCCCATCTTACCAAGATGGCCGACCACTCGCAGCCAGTAGTTACAGCAGTTGCCGAGAGAAAAAGTAAATAATTTCTTCAAAACTGTGTCCATATTTAAGCCACAATTTAACCCCTTTAGCAGTGATATATTTTTGAACAAATCTGCATACCTTAGGTTTTGCAAAATTACCTCATGCACAAAACTTTGCAGGCAGTCTGAAGAACAGTCTGATCTCTATTGATGAAAGGCTAAAATGACGTGCAAATGATGTGACTGATAGCATACTCATTGTTTCAAATGTTTATTTTTATACTACTTTGAGAATTTGCACCAAATATTGGAAAAAGATGTGAACATGAGCATTTGAGCATTCCACTGTTTAAGGAACTGACTTGTGATCAAATGTTGATTTAGCAAAAGTTAGCAATGTATTGTGATTCAAGATGTGCTCCTATTACATCTATTGATGATAGCTTCACAAGGGGATGACTTATTATGGAATACAAGAGATTAGGAGCAGACCTAGACACATCAGTTTCTCTGAATGGTATATCTGTAGGCCAATAGTACACAATAAATATGTGATCTCAGTTAAAACCAATGTGAAAAACTGCTCAGTTAGTCTGACTATATGCTTTTCATGCTCAATATACCCGGTGCCATCAGTTTCTCATCTCCTGAGATGGTCATCTCCTGGGCATTCTTGAACTAGTTTTATTTTGTGCTGGTTTCATCATGGGCTTTCCTGAAAACCCCAGTTATTTTTTGTATTGCCATTTTTATATTAAAGTTTTCACTTTTTCATGGAATTTTTTTCATTCTTAATCTATTCCTTTACCCTTCCTTGTTTAAAGATGAGAATACCCACTCTCTTCTCAGAGGAGGGAGATGCTCACTTGAAGCATACAATGGGGAAGAAACTTTGCATCATTGAGATGCAATATACAGACTCAATTCTTGACTCCCTCTCCCTGGAAGAAAATAGGAGGCTAGCTAAAGAAGTCCATTTTTATGGTCCTTCTGAGGCCTACATGTACCTGGTAGTCACTGGTTGACCTCTTGGGCAATCCTGTTTTGAAGCTTAAGCTTCTTGGCAGTCTTGTCTCGAGCTATCTCATAATATTCTTCAAATATGGACTTGAGACCATCATAGAGGAGAGGGAGGATTGGCAAATCTTTTGGAGCCACCTGTAAAAGAGAATACACTTCATAAATTCACAGGTAATCACACCCTTCACTGCACTGTGTTTGTGTTCCTTATTGGAAATAAAATTAATTAATTGCTCTATATAATGGCTGTAGAATACCTGACATTCACAATGTTTCTGAAAGGGAAGAACAATGTTATAAATGAATGCCTGTTACCTAGTGAAAATATTAGTAAACCATAAATGAGTTTAACAAAAACTTTAGACATAATTTTCTTAGTTTCTAAATTATTTTTTATTTTTCCCCAAAGCTTTCATATATTGTGCAGCAGAGGGTTAATGCTGCTTTACAGCATCATTTGCATTGATCCAATGGCAGAGAGGAAGACTGCATTGTGACTTTCCAAACAAATTCAACTAATAATCAACACTTTACAGTCATGATTTTCTCACAAGAATATCTGAATGGGTAAATAATTGTTGCAAACGTTTCAGAAATCATATCAGCAAAAGTTGTAAATATGAAGCATGTGATCCTTCTGTTAATAATAACAATATTCTTGTTAGTACACCCAAATCCAAAAGTATTGATATGCTTTGTCTATTAAGTGCAGCATTGCTAGTGGTCTGTATTGGGTAGATAATAGCTGTTTTTGCTTCCCTTACCTTACCTTACTCTGTATCAAGTGGAGAAGTAAGCTTTGTTTTTACAAATTGCCTAGCTTATATAGAGTTTGCAGTCTTGTGCAGAAATAAATCTCACTTGACCTGTTCAGGCTTTTATCTCAAACTGTTACCTGTCAAGGGAATAATGGGATCTCAACTTGCTACTAATTATAATAAACCTAATGAAGGCAAGAATAGGAATTTCCTTTTGCAAAAAAATTTGGTGTAGATCTTCCAGATGAGGTGTGGGGATAAAGAGGATGGCTGCAGATGAGCTCCCTGAAGATGGAGCTAAGAAAACAGAAAAGAAGAATTCCTCCAGGGCAGATGATGGGAACTCTCACATTTGCTCCAACAAAGCTTCCCCTGGCAGGGTGCGGAAAAGAAAAGTGATATTTTCTGAAAACGAGAAAGTCTGTCTCATTCAAGAGGTGAAGCATTATAGGGAAATCCTTGAATGCCGAGGCAATGATTCCAGGGCCCTCGAACAGAGGACCAAAGCATGGGAGAAGATTGCCAAGACCATTGACCCATTGAATCCAAGTGTCAAACGGACAACGGCTGAATTGAAACAGAAATGGAGGAACATGGTAAAGGAATCCAGGAAAGAGATTGCCAAAGTGAAGCAATTGACAGGCACCATTGTGAAGGAAGACCTGTCTCTACCCACTCAGATGATTTTGGGTGTCTTTGAGAATGATCCATCATTGATGGAAGTTGAACAGCCATGTGAAGAGAATGGCTCTGTGTCAAGCCTTGAAGTTGCAGCTAGTCCCCAGTTTCATTTAAACTCCTCTAACAATGAAAGTGAGTTATCTTTGTTTTAATCAATTCTTGTTGGTATTACATGATAAGTAAGAGAAATTATTTCCCTGATTTCAGATATACACTTCATCCTTCCAGAAGACTTGGTCATTGCTACAATAAGAGAAGACAGCTCCGGTGATGCAGAAAATCCCAGTTCCTATGAGGAAGACTCCTTTGATGAGCCAGACATTCCAAAAAACAATTTAAAGAGACATATGATGACAGACTCATACAGAAGCTTGGTTGCAGCCAAGATTCGTAAGACAGATTTGGAGTCCTCCAAAATAGAGCTTGAGAAGCAGAAACTCATGCTGGAAATAGAGACAATGAAACTCCAGAAAGAGAAGCTCCTCCTAGAAATTCAGGAACTAAGAAGAAGCTGAGGTTTAGCTATCAGGTGTTCACAGTGCAATCAGAGTCTAGGTTCTCCATGTCGGTGATATTTGTCTTGTCAGACAGTCTGAGGTTCTCGAGAGAAAATTTGTACACAATGATTTATCGGGCTAATTGATCTCCACCTGGATTACCCTCTATGTGATACCATGCTATTGATATATGTCTTCTATCAATTGACATCTTTTTGTGGCAGTCTTGGTACATACCATAGTGACATTATATGTCATGTAAAACTGGCCTACGTAATGATAATCTTTTTGATTTTACTTTTTTTAAAATGACTCGTGGTTTTTTCTCTCAATCACTCAGGAGCAAAGAGCACTGCGTGACATGTGATACTTAATTAGTCCTGAGTCTCAGAATAGCATAAGCATATAAGCACACATTCTCTGATGTTGAGCATTTATCCAGCCTACTCTCATCATGAGTCCATATTACATAAGAAATTAATCTGGTCAAGTGCCTGTTGACTTTATGAAGACAGCCATGTTGAAAAACCTGAAAGCAAAGAATTTTTTGTTCTTATCAGTATATGCTCATATGATGTCACATTACTCTTTAAAGATATCATACTCATTAGTACTGGTGTATACTACAGGTTTTGCAAGAAGATACTTCATCTTAACATACTGTATACACTAGTATAAATTACTGTTTGTCTTGTATTTTTTAATTTTGTGCTGGATCATCTTTCATTGACCAAGATGTGACTTATGTACTAAGTCAACCACACATCTCAGCATTGAGTCATATTGTCTGTGTTATATCCTATTTTATCACTCCATGAGGTACAAACCCCAGATATTTCAAACCATGGATTAGCTTGGGTATTTCCTTTGTTTGCAACTGCCAAGTGTGATATTCATTGAGAGGAATTATTTATAATTGAGCTTATTGATGCATTTCATCCTGATCTCTTGGTGAACTTGTCAGCATAAATTCAGATTTTTTATCCATTCCCAGCAGACTGAACTGATTTTTTCATAACTGGTGTGCATGGATTTGGTAGTCTTAATTTATATGTTTTGTCACTTCAATGTCTTTTCTTAATAAAGGCATTAGTGAACTTTATATGTATAAATAGAAAGTGTAAAACAACATACTAGGGCTTCAACATTTTTAGACACATTACATCCACAAGTTCCAGTTATGACCTGATATTTGTGCAGTAGACACTACCTTTGAAAGGCAGCTGCTTGTGGATGACCAGATGTAGTACTTTCCAGACACCCATCCAGGTGTCTAAAGATGCCTCTGCTATGACTTGGAAAAGGCCTGGTTACCATTTCCATTTGGTATTGATTTCAGCCATGAAAGCTGAAAGCTAAACTGATCTCAATGCATTTTTGGATATTTGTGTAATTTTCTCAGACTATTAGTGGAGCAGCAGTTGAATCAATTGGTGAAATTGGAAAGAATAAGTTGGATCTTGATTTTGGCAAGGCAAAGGTTTAGACTGGCATCTTGTGACAATAGGACCAAGTATCAGCTCATGTGGCAGTGGACTTGCTACAACAATGAAAAATAAAGTTAACCTCACAAATATTTTTCTTGTGTAACTGGTACCCAATATTTTGTCTTCTAAAAATGCAAAGGATCAGTGGTTGAATCTTCCACTGGAAAAATTCACTTGAAGCCTGTGTGGATACTATTACCTTAGGGCATATGAAGAATAGAGAAAATGCTTTCAAAGTCAGCTTCATAAAATTAACCAGAGCAAAGAATGTATATGTAATATGTAAATACTTTTTAAGTTGCAAAACATTAGAAGCCAATGATGCCATTTTCTTCCCAATGGCTAAAAACTTTCTGAGCAACCCTCAACACCTACATCATTTTGTTCTGTCAAAATGATGTAGACCAGACTAAACACATACAACATTGTATATTTTGACCTATCAGTAAACTTTCATTTGTGGAATCACCTCTCATGTGTCCCACACTGATGGCAGATCCATTGGGATACAATTTCCCTACAAAGAACAGACAGTAATTTAAGCCTGTTTGAAAAAGCTAAATCTTCAGATGCAGAAACACTGACCTGCATGAAATCAAAGGCAATCCCAGCCCTTAGGGCAGCACTCTGACTGAGGATGGGAATCTTGCAGTACCGCTGGCTGAAGTGTGTAAGGATGATATGTTTGGATTGCATTCGCTCCGCAATGTCTAATGCCTGAGAGACCGTGGAGTGGGCCTTAATGTGAGCTGCTTCAACCATGTCATCCTCCATGGTTGCCTCATGGATCAGGAGGTCACAGTCCATACCTGTTGAGATGTTCACTCTTGTACTCTAAACAAATATTCATGCCTGTACACTGAGGAATATTTATGGTGAATCGTACCCAAGAAAACAAGATTGTTGCATGGCCGTGTGTCTCCAGAATAAACAGTTGTCCAGCCTTTCAAATCAGTTAGGCTCACTCCAAATGCATCCGGACAGTGTGAAACTCTACATGTTTGCATCCTCCTCAGCCCCAAACTTTCTAACACATTTTTTAACATGGTCTCATTGTCATTCAAGAGCAATGCATTATCATGGGCCTGGTACAAGTGATCTATGGATTCAAAGTGCATATTGTAAAAATCTAGCCACTGGATCACAGGCTGAGGGGCAAAGAGCTTCATTGGTTGGAAAGGCTTCTCTTGTAGCATGAAGGCTTCTTCCCTTGCTTGAAGAATGGAGATGAGGCCAATGTGATGGTCAGCATGCAAATGAGAGATATAGGTTGCATTCAAATGAGTCAGAATCTTCCATGTCTTGCTGAGTCCAAAAAATCGCACCAATTGGCCAAGAGTTCCCTCTCCACAATCAAGCATCATGTGATGTTTTTTCCTGAAACAACAAAGATTATGTTTCAGGCAAAATTAAGTCAGTAAATTTTTAAGATGGGACAGAATCCATTTGAAATCCATTTGAGGATTGGTATCCATGCATTGTCATTGGGACAATGTTAGAATTGCATGACACTCAAGTGAGGGATGTGAAAAAAAGATGTTAGCCACTAATGTCCAACAGTGAAAATATCCTAATTGTTGGATAACAACCAATACCTCAGTCAGAACCAACTCTACTCAAGACAAGTTGACAGGGCAGTTCTTACTTGATTGTGAACAAGATGGCACTAGTATTTCTGGTCTTCTGAGGAACAGAGGACCCAGTTCCCAAGAACAGTATTCTGGGGAAATCTTGTGATTCTGACGTTATAACAGTATCAGAGTCTCTCTTTGCTTGGACAGACTCATGCACTCTATCACGTACATTTACATCAGACTCATTGGAGGGGATTTCTGACAAAGCTTCCTCTGAAGATATCACAATGGATGAAGAGAAATCCAATCCCATCTTGGGCCGAAGGCGGAACTGAGTCAATGTCCTGGCCTGAACAACACCATCAGTGGCAGAAATGGCCAATACCTTAGAACTGACAGAAGTAGCACTGCCATTCAGGGGTGATAATATTTCTGCTTCATTCTTGTTCACACTTGGAAACTCCTTGAGCAATGGAAACACCACTGGATCCAGAGAGTTCAATTTGAACTGGTTTCGATACACTTCTCGATTTCCTAAACAAGTGGAATCCCTGTTCAAAGAAATATGGATTGTTGACTTAGGAAACTGGCTCATCCAGTCTTGATATTTGAGGTTTCCCATCACTTCTGGTGGTGTGAAATGAAATATCACAGATGGATCCAGACCAGATGTCTCCATGTGGCTCTGAAAATGTCCACTTTTCATCAAGGATTTTAGAAAGGCCTCTGTAGGGCAATCCACCACTAGGAAGAAGCATCAACATCAGAATTAACACTAGATGTTTGGAAATAAATTTTCAAAAATGAAGAGAATGCCTACCAAAGAACAAGGAGCCTGGATCTTGGGGAGACATAACATCTTGGGAGTGAACCACTGTTCCATTTTCCAGAGTTACATCTTCTCCTCTCTTAAGACATCCCAATAGAGGCCCTGTGGGTACTTTGTAATCAAGACATTTCTCCAACAGCAGAGATCCTGCTCTGGGCTTTAATCTACAAATGTATGCAACACTCATATCTCTTTCCTTAATTTTCAAAGCATCTTCTTGTCCACTGCCTCTCATCTCTGAAACAATGAAAAATGGTAATGAATAATATAATTGATTCCTTCATTAATCACCAAGGAGCCAATAACACTCCAGCTCACCTGCATTGTTGTGAGTATTCAACCTTCTCCTCTTTCTGCCTTCAAGATTGCAGTAGTTTGTTGTTTCCAAATCGGAGTCATCAAACCCATCCTTCTCCTTCTTACCTCCCCATATTGGCACATAACTGATGATTAGTGTCTCATCCTCATAAGGGACATCACTATATTCCTTCTTCAGCACTTCCATTGCATTAATCTTCACAAATGACTGGGCTCTCTCAATTAGCTTCTCCTACATACAATGCATGAGAAATCTCCAGCTAAAAAACACTTTAATTCAAATGAATTTTCCCACTGATCCTTATGTCAAAGGCAAACTTACCACATCAGGTGGTCCATGCAGAGTCAAGGAAGGCAATCCCATCTCATGCAATGAGAGAAGCAACCCTGGAAGTCCTCCATAGTTCTCCCATGAGAGGTGTGTCACCAGTATGTGCTCCAGTTTTCCCAACTTCATTTTATGCTCACATAGGAGTCTTTGAGCCCCTTCACCACAATTGAAGAGATAACTGCAAGAAAGAGCGGAGGTGGACTCAACCACTTAGTGTTTATACCCTGTCAAAAACTTTTTGCACCACCACCTCCCTCTTCCCACACTCAAGACTTAGCACACTTATGGTTAGACTTTCTTTCAATTAATACTGATTCATGATTAGTCCTCATGCCTAACGTGAAGTATGGGCATATGACTTACCTGGAATTTCCAGCCAGCATGTAAAGTGCTCTCGGCGCTCCAAACGCACCAGATCCGATGATGTGCAGAGATATCTCAGCCGGGGGATACAAACTCTTTTCCGCTCTCCTCTTCAATACTTTAGCCCTTAGCTCCCCCCTATGAAGCTTATTAGATCTATCTTCGGGCATGTCAATGGTGCACGTCCGGAAATTATCACGTGGGCTTCTTGGCCTCGAAAACAAGGAATCTTCCCACTGCTTACTGCTACGTTTCTCTTCGAAGATGGATTGGGAGATGGAGGCCCTATCTGTGTGGCAGGCACATCCTCGAGAATTGATGACGAATGATGAAATTAGAGGGCGGTGGAAGTACGTGAGGCAAGAATGATGCAAGGCAGAGAAACCACGTTGCACATTGGCCAAGCAGGCCGCCATGACACGCCAACCAGAGACATCTAACTCCTGATTGCAAAAAAAAGTCCCTTCCCACCAGAGACACCTAGCGATTCAAGTGGTCTCCATTCAGCCATCCTATAACAATTGCTACTTTTCAACTCTGGACTCGTACCTCCTCAGCATCATACTTCGTGACAGTGAAACATGCATAAAATCTTGAAAAAGCTTTATTCATCATGGCCATATACGAGCAGCGAAGAAAGCATCAAAATTTAAAAAAGAGTACAAATACATTCATAAAAAAATTTATAAGAAGCACTTTCTCACATTCAACTCATTCTTAAATAAATAAAACTCTACTTTGACTCTTCCTGTACAGCGACACGCGCATGATGTACTCACACCTCTCCCAGTCTCCCTTTGCAACTGTACAACAATCATTCATATGTTCACAATGACTGAATAGTTCTCACACTCATCCGATGAGACAGAATGTGTACATATCACGTGCTTCTACGAACTCATATTGCCACTTCCCCCCGAGAACATTCTTGACCCCCCAATCAGACCGCAGCCCACAAAAAGCGACTCAAAAAAAGTAAGATGATAAAAAAGAAAATGAAACCACGCGAGTTTTGATCCATTCGAAATCATCACCACATGCCATGGACTCGACGATGCAATTCAATTTTTTTTCTCTCGAAAAAAAACGAGCTGCAAAGGGTTTGCCACGAAAAAGCAAGAGGCAGAGGTGATAAATGTGAGCAGAAATTTCCCTCCGCCGCAGAGAATTTCGCCCAGATTTTCTCCAGCAGATGATTTCCAGAGATTTTCAGTACTCCCATTGGGTGGCCTGTTCGAAGTCGCTACTCCCAAATCGGAAGACCCCATTCTTCTCGGCCACGAGATACGATCCTTCCATGTTCTTGATGCAGAGGCGTGATGGTTCCACCAGTTGGAGATAGAATCCCTCTGGTGATTCGCCATCGCAGCTCATTCCGGATGAACTAATCTTCCAGTACTTCCCATTCGAACCTGTGAAAACCATGGCAATCAGTTGATGTCATTGGATCGAACTGACGGAACTTTCCGCCAATTAATGCGGAAAAAATTTACATAAGCATAAAACAGAACAACTGAGATGATATTCATTTTTCAATGAATTCAACCTTGACAGTATCCGTTCTCATTTCCTCAAAATCTAGTTCTCATAAATCCCGATTTATTGCGAAGCTCTACCTTTCACTTTTCCAGTTATTCCCATCGGCGCTACATTCATTTTCATGAGACAGGGCTGAATTTTTCCCCCCTATTGTGTTCCACGACGTAGCACTCCTACGTTATAAACGCTCCGTTGAACCGCCGACAGCTGGCCCCATCGAAGGACGGGGGAGGAAAAGGGAGGAGAAGAAATCCCCATATAATAATACACAAGTGGGGGTTTATCGGTTCAGTCTGGTCTCGGTTGAAGGGGAAATGAGGGGAAATGAGGACTGCATGCCTCGTCTCCCCTGGTCAAGAGTCCAGCACTAGTCCACTTCTCCTTTTCTTTCGCCTCCTTTTACTCCTTCCCCCCTAGTGACCCTCCTAATCAAGGCACAGTAGGGAAATCCCGCTGATGCATCTAAACAAAGAAGACTCCAAATTCTAAGCGAGGCTCCAGAAGTATTCCCGAGTCCTCTGTACGAAACCATGACCTTCACGAAGGTCTACTGACCCCTGAATCTCATGAAATTCCCCGACCTCGACCCCGGTCATCAGCAGCCCAGCCAAACGAAAAAGACATGAAAACCGCAGACCTTTGAAGAAGACGACCCCGTTCGTCCCCTTCTCCACGTGAATCACGTCATACGACGCCTTGTTGCACTCCAATGCGGTCGACGACCCGCTCTTGGACCCCACGAATCCCTGCTCGCACTTCAGCACCAACACCGGCCTGCAGAAGACAGACGAGACCCTTCCAAAACGTCTTTCCCCTTTAGGATCTTCGACGGCGATTGTGACCAAAGAGACCTGTTCACGAGCTCGAAGAAGAACTTGGCATTGTCCTCGATACTCTCGCAGTTGGCGAACAGGTGCCCGGACTTCTTGATCGTCACGTACTTGCCATTATTGGCCCGGAATGCCACGGACCCACACTCCAACCACGTCAGCTCGAACAGTGCGTTCGAAGACCTACATATACGACAAACATGACCTTCACTCGTCGATCGCGGCCGCGATACGGAACCGACGCTCTTCGAGCAATTCAAATGTGGCCCATCTCACGAGTCACTTCCTAGTAGCAAATGTCCTGGCACGACAAGTTACAAGTAGGAGCCCCCTGGCGCACTTGACTCCGCCGAACAGATGCAGTTCGCAGAGCACACCCCCCCTTCCCTTAGGGGGGCTTAGGGTCTCATCCAAAACACATCTGTGTCACACATAATGAAGCCCCATACTGCACAGTCGCAGGCATCCACACAGCTGGACTCGTGATCGATTTCTTCGTCGTGCTCTGCATATGTCCATCCCCGTTAATGACAGGACAGCTGAACTAATTAGTCCGCCCACGTGCCAGCTGCCCGTTTGTGACCTCATCCGTATAATTCCCATCGACCTTGATCCGTTTAAAGACCTCCCTGCGTATGCGAGTGTGCATAGCCTTAGGATAACAGGAAAGGCAGAACGAGACCGAGCCAATGATTGACGACTAAGAGTCTTCTTCAGGTTGCAAGTCACGCTGCTCATTTTTTATTTTTTATTTATTCAATGTTTAGACTAGCATTCTATTGCCTGGGTTCATTTTATTTCATACTTAAAAACACTTTCTTTTGTACCCTAAATTCTCCTTTTCAATTCCATTCAATTTATTATTATCCTTTACTTTAATTTCTCTTCTCTTTCGTTGCTTTATCGAACATTTTCCTTTAGCTTTCCCTCGTTTTGCTTTTGCTCGGTTACCTTTTGTCGGAGATGGCCTGGATGCCGCAAGCAGTCTCCAGGGTCCAGTACTTGTCCTTCATGGTTCTGATGTACCAGCGACGAGTGCAAGTATCGAACTCCAGCTGGAATGTCTCGTGGTCCGATGCCTCGTCCTGATTTGCCGTCACATCCACCCCTGCACAAGAAGAAAAAAAGAATTCCATGAAAGAGCCTATCTAGTCCTTAAGAATTTTCCAGTCAATTGAGGACTCGATAGAATTTTGAAGAGAATTGAACGGATTCTTTAAATCCTATGGAATTCTAATTCATTCCTATAGAACATTCTCACAGAAGAATTCACTTCGGGTTACATCATCGCATCGATCTACAAAGTTCCCCCAACGTATTCGGGCGACAGGGGGAAGGGAAGCACGCGCTGGATCGATGGGAGGCAGCCACGTGCTCCCCTCCCCTCCCGTCGCCATGGCAACGAATCCGTCCCGGGATGTTACTGACCCCGGAGCATCATTCCCTCCAAGGAGGATAATCCACGCGAGCGAGCCGGGATTCTCTCATGCAGATTGTCATTGTGCGAAGGAAGCGCGCCATCATTCATGGAAGGAGGAGACAAAAGGAAAAAAGTGATAGTGCAGATAAAAAGCGTGTGTGGGGGGGAGGCGGGGGACATGTGGAAGGAAGATAGCGGAACTAACAACGCTGGCGAAGGCGAGGGTCCTTATTTTCTTTTCTTTCGAGTCAAAACCAAGGGATTGCAGAGGAACCTGGCCAAAACGCTATCGAGGGACATTGGACTTATGAGGCGTGAAGAGCATTAGACACGCATCTTCGTGCCCTGGAACCGTCCTTCATACCCTGCTTCACCGTATATAAAAACAGATCTGTAATCGCCACCTGGATCCATTCCACAGCTGCCCGCTTTTTTTACTTTATTTTATTTTTTTCAATAACTAAGCACGGATGGATGCGATCCGGGACGGCATGTGGCGCAGTCGTTAATTAATACAAGGCGGGAGCCCATTGTTAATGTTGTTAATGAGGGGCATGCAACACGCAGTACTGGTGCGTTATTAGCGAGGGAAACGGGAAGGAATGTCCGTTATCATCTGGGGCAGAGGAAGATGAGAGAGGAAAGAAGCCAATCTCATGAAGCTATCATCGTCTTCATCCGGCGGCTCTTTTTCCGCTCCGATGCGCAGTTTTATCGAAACAGGTCACAATTCCCGTAACGCGAAATAATGTAAGCGAGGCGAGGAAAAAGGACTGGAAAATTACGTGAGCCCGGAAGCGAAACCTGCTCTTTTCACACAGATTTCGCGACCTTGAAAAGATTTTTTCTTTTCATTAATCTCATGGGAAAATATTATCATTTATGTGCAGGAGATCGCATAATCCGTGAAAAAAGAGCGTGGTTCCATGTCCGGTTACAGAGGAAAAAAAGCGGACACGGAACACGGTGGCCGATAGTTATAGTCGGTCGGTGCTTGTTGGCGGTTTGAACATGTGCCTGGGGTTTCCCATAAAATCTGACATTTGCATAAAAAGGTTCCCCGGCAGATGTGGCACACTGTCCCCGTGTTCACGGTCCGCGAACAAGTCGTCTCAAGCAAGGAATCTGGGCTCGATCGTGGGATCCTCGCTTTTTCCTTCGCCCCCCGATTCGGAGAGTGAAAAAGCCGCGAAAAAAAAAGAAAAGAGGAGACTTCGATAGCAGACAGTCTCAGTTCGTCGCCCTGCTGACTCACGGCCCCATGCACTTTCACATTGAATTGCCCATCGTAACAAGACCAGACAAGAGAAAAGAAAAGGACGACACCGGGAGTGTGAATAAGATAGGGAGGTTCAGGCTCAACCCCCCGGTTCCCTCTCCCCCCCATCTGGGTCATTACGAACCCCCACTAGCCCCCCAAAAGTAATTTACGTGAGCTAAATGCCTCCAATGTGAAACAAAGAGTCAAGTTCACTGTCGAATGATTTCACTCGACTTCCCCCCGACTCCTGGTCTATTCCACGACAGGCTTCCGCATCTGCATTCAAGTTCGAGACAAGAAAAAGTCAGGATTCAGGTGCAGGTAGCACGAGGAGTACCTTCAAAGCCGACCCACGCAGGTTCACCTTCAAATAAAATCAAGTATTTAAGAATGAACCGAACGGGCCCGATCCTCCCTTTCACTAGCGAGACCGACGATCAAGGACGAATGGCTACCTACTGACCCCGAACAAAACCGCCACCGAACCTCAGTGGGATTCGGAAGGAAGGCAGACGGGAAGCAGACCCTTTTCCACGTTCTATCCCCGTCTCTTGCCGGGCTTTCTTATCTCTTTTTTTTTCGTGTTCACGGCGAGGATGCGATACAAAAGGAGGGAAGGGAACTAGAGGAAGGGATCATCGAAGCATGGGTGAATTATTCTAGCCCGGGGCTGGCCGGAATCTCTCGCCCCGGGCTTACACGCATACAATCCCATAGGCTGAAAGTAGAATAGAATAGAGTATGAAAAAAAAAGTGGGGAGAATCACGTCTCGCAGGTGATATCCAATGCCGTAACCCTCATTCCACGACAAAGAGCGCGATGTATCATCGTGAAAAGGGCCTTCGCGGATGAGCACGTGAGTCAACGCTTCCTGGCGAGAAAAATTACACACACGCAGTCAAATTTTTCTTTTTCACGCTTTTCCTGACACGTAAATTTAGGGATGAAAAATGTGATCCCAATATTAGAGAATCGAATCACGTCCCTCATTCATCTCCATGGCTAACACCCCTCCCCCGTGTGGCGGTGTAATATTTCATCCCCGAGAATAACTTCCTTCATGAGAGAGGGATTTGAGAGGGATTTTCCTGGGAAGCAAAAAAAAAATCTCCGTCGCCATTATTCACGGAATTCATTATCATTATACATTTTCCTCCAGTCTCAACAAAGAACTTTTTCTTCCATCACGAGGGGGGTTCTGGAAAATGTCGTCTCCTTTCTTATAAACAGTCCGTGGAATCTAAGCAGATAAGGGTTCCAAGGATGAAAGTCTCAAAGAGTAGCTGCAGACTCTGTAGAGACTGTATTCATGGCTAATGGTTCCTCCGTGATGAATGACGCCGATCGAATCCCTTCGTGTCCCACGACGGTCACGGAAGGAATGCAACAAAAAATAAAGAAAGAAAAAAACCTAGAATGCACAGGGAAGAAGCCCTAAGGAACGGCTTCGGTGACCAAGTTCTAATGAACCGGAAAATCGGGCTTCGGTTTTTTCAATTTGCAAAATGCCCCCCCTCCACCCCCTCGATCCACGTTAAGAGTAGCCTGGGAAAAATCCTCGGATTCGAGATGCTCGGGCCTGGGGGAGCGGATGTCCCGGACTCGGGACAAGCGGAAATTCCCTTCACGGGAGACGTGAAATTAGTGGGAAGCAACTGCATGGATCCCCGTCAGCATCTGTTTCTCATCCAGGGAGATAAAAAAAAAGGCGAGAAAACGGAGGGAGGGAGAATCCTCCCCTCCCTCCCCCATTCGGTCCTTCCCTCCCGCCCCCCCAAAATAGAACTCGGGAGGTGACTGTGGAAACATGCAGGTCAGTCTTTCCCTCTCATCCCCCCAAAATAGATTTCAGAAGGCGATTGTGGAAAAGAGCGGCGAAACAGAAGGGAACTAGCCACAAAGGGGTCGTGAGAGATAAGGCGACGAGACATTCAAGAACAAAGTGAGCACTCAATCAGGAACTATTTGCCACTCAATTCAGCTTTGCTAGTGGAACTTTCCATTCCCAATTTGCAATTTACCGTGGCCTCACCGTTACACGTATTCCAACTAAAACTCTTACTTTAACGACTTACGCCAATAACAGAGTTCATGCCAAATTTCATAGCACAGCTCCAATTTTGGAGACTTTTTGGAACAGGAGAGCCAGCAAAAAAAAACAAACAAACAAAACTAATCAATAAAAATAAATTATTTATAGCTTAGCCAACGCACACATTTAAACGAAATTTATATTTGCCCTGTTCCCATGCTACACGAACCAGTGTGCCAAATTTCTTCAATAAACTCCTCAAAGTTTCCGATATCTTCGAAACATTCATCCATACAAAACACAGAAACCGATCCCGCTTCTTTCAGTATGCCACGGCACAGGAAAATAAAGTTATCTGCCAGATGAGAAGTCCCAGTTGATGTCACCCTAGGAGCAGATATAAACTACAATCTTTAAATTTATTTACACTCGTACCATATTACATGCGTGTTCCGCAGGATAGATTCAAGTTCCCCGTTCACAGGCACTGAGTACGTGCAAGTCGATCGGGTTAACATCGAGTCTGCCCCGAAGCGAGGGGTTTCTTTGCCCGTGTCCCTGCAGTGCATTCAGCCTCAAAAGTCCCAACCCTCGACAACATAACACAAGTAACACGGATATGAAATGGGGTTGCCGGTATTTTTGTCCCTGTGGAGAAACACGCCACGTATCCCATTACGGGTCAGTGGTCGACGTAATGACAGAATTACTCTTTTCGTTCTGTCCATGAATGCTGCCAGGAAACATCCCCATTCACGAGGATATGACGACCGATAATTAGCGCCTATTCATCTAGGAATGAGCAAACATCCCGGATATCGAGGGCAAGGGCGTATCGGCCCGGGAGAAAGCAGGTGACAAATGAGTGACCGCCTTGAAAAATGGAGAGTGAAGATGACGATCTCGAAGCCTGGAAACTGGGACTCGCCAAGGCCTAGATTTCACCCTCCATCAGCTGTGGGCTTCATTTTTCCTTCCTACTTTTGCCTCCACGGCTGTTCGTACGAGGAATCCCCCCCACGGTTTGAAGACTTGGAGCCGTGCGAGACCGAGTCGGCAGCTGCCTCCAGCAATTTCATGCCGCCGTGAATCGTAATAATTCGGGAGAGGGGGAATGCAGTGGACTTTCCCTGTCGATCGATGAAGGACAGATGTCATTCCATGACTCGACAAATCCTTCCTCGCTTTCGTCCCTATTTTCTGTCGATTTATACCGAATGAAGGAAGAATTCAACCAACTACCAAAAGTTGGAGACAGAGCGAGAGCAGCTAAAAAAAAAAAAAAAGACCAGCGGCATGTGGTACGAAGTAACCAGACCTGGAAGGGAAGAAACAACAGTCTCCCCTTCTTCACTTTTTCATTGAAGGTGGAAAAGAACCCAGAGGCATCTGTATGAGCGCTCTCTCTCTCTCTCTCTCTCTCTCTCTTTGGAATGAGTAGATTCGTCGAGAGGAATGAAGGAACTTGAAGGCACCCAACTGTGACTAACTTCCTTCCTCTTTTTATTCCTTTCGGTCAACATCACATCGCAGCTGACCGAGAAATTCGACACGGGGTCCTTCCAACCCTTTTCCTCGCGCACCGTGCGACCGTGACATTTTGAGGGATCACCTCGCGTTTAGGGAAACTTTTTTTTGCGGAAGGAAGCCAAACCCCGTGTTCCCTTTTCGGGCTCCGAAACCGTGACGACAGGGCCGACAGGGGCGAAAAAAAAAACCAGGACCGATGAACCGTAGCGAGATGGCTAGACTCGTTCAAGTTTCTTCCCTGCAAGGCTGCGAATAACCTAGATCAGAATCAGACGAGACAACAAATGGCACGAGGCAGTCGTCCAAGGCAAAGAATGGCAAGTGCATTACGATCTCCGAATGATCGGGCTCGTGGCAAAACCTGTCATCGCCAGCGATAAGGCAATCGATGGAGCGTGGAAATCGCCCAGGTAGGAAATGAGAAAACAAAGGAATCCCGTAGCTCCACCGACCTAGATGGTACTTTCCACCGGTACTTGATTAATATCTGCGAAGCCAGTCCACTCTGTTGGCTGAAAAAAAATGCGGAGCCATCCTCGCGACTCACAGATTCGTGTGGACAGGTGAATGAGCTCTAAGGAATATACAGGAATAAAAGCCTGCCAGACAATGTTGGAGCAGTTAAAACACGTCGTCTACTAATAAGATTCCCAATTAGTAGGTAAATGGGATGAATTCCCACGATGATAAGGATTTTTCGAGCGGTTGCAGCAAAGGATGAGAATCCTAAAGGAACATTCTTCTTTCTCGGCGACTGCAACGCTAGGAATGTCTAAGTGGACGCATTCCAAAATAGACAGTTATCTATCTCAATTAAGTAGCTTTGTTAGTTATTTGTATGGAACGGCGGAGGCGGCGATGGCAACGGCAACGGCTGGGGGAGAGGGGGGGGCGCAGCATTCATTCAATATTTGATGACATTCTTTGTCATTGTCATTGGCTGACCCCTCACCAGATGGGCATCTGGACCTTGCCCTCTACCCCTCAATATTCTCAGTAATTCAACGCTGTGCTCGTTCTAAACCATGTGTTAGGTCTGTACCGACGGCCGATGCCGATAGAGAGAAAAACCAACAAGTTATTGACAAATATTCCACGTTGTGTTATCAACCGTTTCCACGCCAGCTTATTAAGAAAGACTTATGGTATTGAATCTCCGTGCCGCTTCTTGCTCGATGGGAGGCCGGAATCACGTTTGAGTCTTATCGAATAGGAAACGAGTGGCAGGATGTCCGACGGAGTCTTGCGGCCGAGATTGGGCGAATCGCACTCTTAAAATATCCACTTTTTTTTTTTTGCCCGAGGGATACAATAATCGAAGGTCCGAAAGCTTCAAGTAACGGTCCGGAGTTCATGGACTCTTATAGAGTAAAAGAGCTATTAAAATTAAGTGCCCTTAACTCTCACCTAAATGAGATCTCAACATTTTCTAAGCCAGAAAATTGCAAATCCTAGAGAAGAGAGAGAACCCCGACTGGATCCCCGATGCCACCTCGATACGACGTGAGTGTCGGCTGCAGGGAGAGATTTATGTGTCGGTTTACATAATGTATAGATGCCAGTTGCCTGGAAGAGATCAGAACCGGTATTCGCCAGCTTTTCTTCGAAGACGTCAGGCGGCATGCCCGATCCTATCATCTGCTGTGATCCAGGTCTCATCCGTCGAGATTAAATGATGCCCATAATTTCCTATTTTTGCGTGTCAGAAGCCGGAAACATCGACTCCTTCTCCTGAGAAAAAGGAGTCGGGCGCCGAGCCGCATTCACACCCGCACGGATTCCTCTATCGTTTCTTACGAAGGGGCATCGGCATTGACAGTTCAAAAACCTGCCGATGGTTCAGATACTGTCATATTGACGGCTGATCATGTTAATTGCCGATCCATCGGTCCAGCCCTACTGTATATTCATTAGCGTTCTTTGAACCTGGTAGTCGGCGACGAAAAAAGTCGGCGGTTTTCAATAAACTTTTCCCTTATAGTAGCATCTAATTATGACGGGATTTAAATCGAATTAAAATCAGGTACTAGTACAGTTAGCACAGTGTGGGCACGAGGCGTCACCACGAAACAAAAGGGGCTTCTTAACGTTCACGAGGGATTTCTTTAAGAGTGACTTCACGCATGTTGGAAAAAAAAGAATCGCACGCAGTCACTCGCAAAACGGTGCCGTCAAGTTTTTGGCAAACTTTTTTTCACATGAAAGATTCCTCTCATGGGAGGCAATAGACTGAATTCAAACCTATGCCAGAAATTTCTCCATGCAGAGGGTTAGACCTGCTGAAATAGGTTTCATTTCATCTACACAAATATCGCACAAAATTTACCAAAGTACCTAATCTAAAACAGCTACTCCGTTATTAAAGACGAAAATTGCATCGAGAGAATTATCCATTTATTCTCTTCTACGGTAGCAGACGTGCGGCGTGTAATTTCGTCTGTGGGGAAGATCGGATACACGCATGCGACCATTATTCTCGGAATTTCCCCCTTTGTGAAACACCGGCTGGGCCCATCCCCCCCCCCCCCCCCTCAACCCCCTCCCCCTTCTGCATCCGCTGCCCTCAGGATGCAGGCCGAGTTCACTTCTGGCGAAATTAATGTGAAAACCTGTTTTCCTGTCCTGATTCTCCGTCGAGAATCTACAACTTTAAATGATCACTGCGAAAAAGGCATCGGCAGTCACGAATACTCCCAGATCTCGACGCAATGTGCATGCCGGGCCCTCAAAAGGAACACCTGGGTCTGGGTGCTCAGCCAGCCCGATCCTTTTCGGCTTTCGCGGCTGACGATTCCTTCTTTGAAAAACGGAAAGAGAGGCGCCAACATGCAGCGGCGACAAAGTTGCCAGCCGAAAAACCTCATCTGGCACCTTTACGCTTCGTCCCTCCTGAAAACCTTTCAACCTCTACGTACATGTCACGATTTGCCTCAATCTTGTCCACCTGTTTCAAAGACTCGCTGAAGGCGGTCCGTCAATGAACCCCGAAAGGGATTGCCTGCATACGTCAGCAAAACAAATTAAGTTTCGCACGTATGCAAGCAATGTCAAGAGATCGAAATCGTACAAAGCTTTAATTACCTTGCTTGACGGAGACATATCTGGAGTTGAGTCTTGCGACGAAGGAGGCCTGAGGGAGGGAGTCGTGGAGGGAGAAGAGTTCGTCCTTGCTCACCGTCTCCGAGCGGGTCTTCAGCACGCTCCGGGACCCGATGGGACTGAGGTACTGCCCCCGTGCATCCCTCAAGGCCAGGAATCCTCCGTGAAACTCGGCTGCGAACATGCAGTCCTTGGTGCATTCCCGCTCCAGTCGCCCTTCCCGGGACAGGTATCTGTCGTTGCACGTGTGGATCGCGTATCGCTCGCCCCGGAACTCCAGCGTGAACAGCGTGTCCGGCCCCCAAGGCACGTTCGCGTCCACCTATTTCATCGCCGTAATCGCCTCCGTGATTTCCTCCCGGTCGATTTAGGACGGAACCGCAATCAAAAGAGATTTTTCTTCCTGACCTGGATTTCGTCGCCTTCTTCGGAGAGATGAGCAAATCGTTTCCGGCCGACGGAGCGCAGGTTCACCTGAGGTCGAGCAGCCAGATGAACAAACCACAGCTCCGAATCAGCCGGGACCTCAAGACACATACACGAACATACGTTACAAATCTTCGCCAATTACAGTCCGTCGGTAATGGTCTGCTCCCGGTAATTACGGGGGTCGAAAGGAATGAGACGCGGAAATGCCCGTAAAAACTGTACCTTGGCGTGGCAGGTGAGTTTGTCCCCGGCAGCCCCAAGGAAATACCCTCGAGACACGTTCTTGAGGGCCCATCGACCCGACGTGTCATCTGCGACGGAGATCTCGAACCTGGTCGTGGGGTCGCACTTATCCTCGCAGTCGCACGTCACATTCCCGAACTGGTCCACCGACAGATAGCGATCCAGATGAGATCGGAGGCACACGTGGCCAGTCTCATCTGACGGCTCCAATACCCACACCTGTTGAACAAAAGGTAACGATGTACAGAAATACTTCCATAAGAAATGTCTGATAACTAAGTTGAAAAAGGAACACGTTGATGATTTAGTAAAATTATTGTCATAAATACTGACAATTTATGCCCATTTAGGACATAAACATACAGTTTAAATATCGAAAAATAAAAATTAAGTTTGCCTTTCCCGCAATTTTGCTTAAATATATACTTCTTTATATAACCAATATGAAGTTTGAACTTACCTGTTTCTTCTTCATGGAGGTGCCGTTGGCGTTAATCTTGTAGCCAAAGGTCTCGGCTGTGAGATATTTGGACTTGGAATTGATGAGTCCGATGGTCCAGCAGCCCTTTTCCGGGCCTGATCCATTCAAGCTCGTATCCCCGAGCCCGTTCATTATCAGCGGCATCTTTCCCTCGTGACTCGCTTTCTGGCACTCACTCACTCCTTGTTTTACCTGTGGAGGAATGGAAGAGATCGATGACATGGAAGATGAATTCTCCCCTCCACTGAATCCCTCCCACGCTCCTCCACGAAATGCGAAGGTTTTGCAGGAAGTAAGCGGGTCGTCTATGCTTTCTCATGTGGCACCGCGTCACGAGAATTCCACAGCCAGTTAGCATAGTCGAACCCGGAACAGCACTGGAAGCTGCGAACCGCTCCGGAGGTTCTCCAGATCAGGACTGGCCTGAGGGAGGGAAGCCGGGGAAGGGGAAAGAGGGGAGGGCGAGCAGACACGCTCGATGCCATTCCTTCCCCCTTCCCCCCCTCCCCCGCATGAAGGAACTTGGCCCTTGCCTGCCATCTAGAATTTAATAGAAGAACTATACGTTCAGCGTTTATGCTGTAGATGCCAAGTCCTTGCAACTCACCGTCTCAACCCGCGTGCCTGTCCTGTTCCAAGGTTATTGTTCTCATTAGCGGCGCCTTTCGCCAGATGACAAGTTCAGTCTTCGCCATTAGCCCAAGAGAAAAGTAAGCAGTAGTCCTACTTTTCATTGTGCGTGTCATCCGTATCACGAGGAGAAGATGCTCATGCTCAGTTTTTGCCGAAGGATATGCCGAGAGATTCATATATTTTCCCACTGATTCCCTTCGTCTAACCTGATTTTAGCTTCCGTTACAAGAATTGCGTCAAGTCGCAGAGCTTACGATGATTGGACTCACTTGGAGATAATGAAAGGCAATAGATGATAGGAGAACCCGCTGGGGTAATGCGTCCTAATCATAGAATAGACCTATAGTGTGAATCTGATTGTTGGCCATGTCGAATGGAAAAAGTGTGAAGAATATTCACGGAGGCGGTCGGATTAGCGCCGCAGGGCAGGAAAGTAACAATATCCGGATATCCCCATTACGGGCCTGATTATGCCTTGCCGATTCATTGCGCCCCCATAGTCTCCCTCAAGTCCCTGCGAAACGGAACTCGAACTTTCTCCCCGTTAAAAATTCAACGTTTTGTTTCACCGCTTCAATGCTCGAAATCTTGAAGTTCACGTTGGGAGTTTTTACTGTGAAGTTACGGCCGGCAGAATCATGCAGACTCGAGTCTAAGGTCACAGATATCGCCGGATGCGAACGTAGCATGATGTGACAAGGACTGCCACCGGTTTCGTAAGGTTGAAAAGGTCCAACGTTGAGAAATAGAGTTGCGGGTAACCCGGCTGAAAGCGGCACGCCACTCCTCGTGAAGGCCTGTCTGCCAGAATGGAAGTCTTTCTATCGTAGGCCTCCGTGCGAGTGCGATTTTGTAATACAGGGCCTGTTTTCCATCCTTTACACGACCTAACCCCCACGCTTGACACGTCTCGACCGAAAAGCGATGTGCTCCCCAAGATTGGTACTCCCTTTAAATACGTGGCGGGGAGTGGAAAGAGGAGGCGAGGAAAAAAGAGAGCAGCAAGAGAATGGCCGGAGGGGAAAAGAAGTGGGCAGGCAGGCTCTGTTCATGCCCTCGCTCATTCAAGCGTCCCTCGCCAGGCCCTGCAGCCGAGGCAGGCTCGCTGTTCCCTGTCCGCTGTTCCCTGCCTCCCGTTCCGTTCCGTGCGTGTTCCGTCTGGCAGACAGTTGCTGCGTGGGGCTCCGTGGAGTGACGTCGTTCCTCTCGTTCGCTCCCTAAGGTTTCAGGTGAGGCATCCCCGCGTTTCTCCGGTTCTGAGTTTGCGCTCTGTGGAATGCCGAGGAGTTTGACGGCGCCGTCTCGCCGGAAATTCGTGAAGCTGCGTCGTGGCTTTCGCGACCGAAAGATCAAGGGAGATCTATACCGTCCTCTTTAGCAGACCAGACAGAACGGGAACCCGTTTCGCCCTCGGGCTCGTTCCTTATCTCATCCAAATCGTCAAAGGGCATGAAAAAAAGATTCTCTCCTCCTTCACCATCATTTTTCTTCGTGAAGTTGTGACCCACAGTGCCGAGCAGCCGTGTTGCCGTTCCAGGGAGCCATAATTTCGTCATCTTTCGAGAATACCACGGTTTGTACAAGGTTGGATTGCCCTGCTTCAGTTTCATTGTTCCCTCCGAACACAATCGAGTTCCAATTACATGTAATTGTCCAGACGCAACATTGCGTCACATCCATCTATCTCTTCGATTGAAATCGATGTTGCTGCATTGCCTCGGGACATATCCTTTGTGGACTTAATTTTTCTTATGAATAATTCACCGATTGTCAAGGTTTGGGTTAAGGTCACGGAAGGCAAGAGAATGCTTCTGTCTAGAGATGGTAAAAGCCCTTTGTGCCGTAGGGGGAACCCGATGTCCTTCGTGCAGGTGGGTCCATCCGAATTATAAAAGAGAAAAAACAGGCGTGGCCTCCGTCATTCGCGACGACCTTGAATCCGAACATTCCCTTCATCTCCATCATTTTCATCTCCATTTTGAGAGTACCATATGCCCCCCCGAGGAGAGTTCATCGACTCACTTTTGCATGCAAACACTCTGACGCCATATGTATAATGTGAAGATCGTGGTCGTTCCGAGGGGCCCATCTATCTCTTTTGATCGCCCCTTTTCCTACCCTTTGTGCGTCTGAACGACGTTGATTCCACACGACGGTGGCCCCTGTCGTAGATATTCGACCTAAACAGGGCATGTCGGTGGCGTAACGGGGCCTCAGGTATGAGATAATTGGCGGATCCAAACATTCCCCGCCTTCCTTCGCTCTCCGGGGGTTCCTTTTCTTTGTCGTATGTGCGTCTGTCAGGGATTTATTGACAGAAGACACCTGGAGAAAGGCAAAGGTAACGGGGAGATATTGATGGATGATGTGGGTCAAAGGTCTTTCGAGATGTCCCAATGTGTACCCACCCTTTTGACAAATAGTCTCTTTCATCACGCCAACGGGTGACACTTTCTTTTTCTTAAATTTTAATCTAAAGTCAGCTGTTTCTGCTTAGCTCACGTTCGGCCAATAAGAGATTTCGGGCGATTTGTATGGGTCGAAAAAAAAAAGATCTGCACCGGAATGATACGGGGAGATTGACCTTCAAAGGCAGCGAGAAGAAAAAGGAGATTAGGAGAAAAGGTAATGGAAAAGGGGAGGATGAATATCTTTTATCATGGGATTTAATTGATCGATCCGGGCGACTCCTTTCAAATGAGGATGACTCGGTGGAATTCCGTGGAGAATTTTCGATCTAGGGCCCTTTTTTCGGCCTCCAGGGCTTTCTTTGTTCTTCGGCGACAAAACTCAAGTCCCATCCTTTCACCTCCACGGTCCTGTAGGTCTTGATTATTGCATGATGGATGGATAAGTTTTGGCTCCCAGCAATACATGCATGATGGATCAGCCCTGTCCTCGATAATTAAATCGTCTGTCTACACTTATTTTCTGTTTATTCTCCCCCCCCCCCCCCCCACCCCCCCCCCCCCCCCTTTC